TGAAAAAAGTTCTATGGGGAAACACTGACAATTACATCACAACTTACCTCTATAGCCAACCTCTGTTGTTCTCCTGGTCCCAGCATCCTCCGTCGCTTGATGGGCTGTTGCTGCTCGTCAGATGCGCTGTCCCCACACAAAGAGGGAATTGAGGCCCTGGGTCCAAAAAATAAAGTTTAATTTGATAACTTGCAATCAGACTTCTTAGCTCACTGTAATTCCCCCTCAACACACAACCAGTGACTTTTATATATATATATATATATATATATATATATATATATATATATATATATATATATAGACAGACAGACAGACAGACAGACAGACAGACAGACAGACAGACAGACAGACAGACAGACAGACAGACAGACAGACAGACAGACAGACAGACAGACAGACAGACAGCTGTAGTGGAACAGGTTGAGAGCTTCAAGTTCCTTGGTGTCCACATCACCAACGAACTATCATGGTCCAAACACACCAAGACAGTCGTGAAGAGGGCACGACAAAGCCTATTCCCCCTCAGGAGACTAAAAAGATTTGGCATGGGTCCTCAGATCCTCAAAAAATTCTACAGCTGCACCATCGAGAGCATCCTGACTGGTTGCATCACCGCCTGGTATGGCAACTGCCTGGCCTCTGACCGCAAGGCACTACAGAGGGTAGTGCGTACGGCCCAGTACATCACTGGGGCAAAGCTCCCTGCCATCCAGGACCTCTATACCAGGCGGTGTCAGAGGAAGGCCCTCAAAATTGTCAAAGACTCCAGTCACCCTAGTCATAGACTGTTCTCTCTGCTACCGCACGGCAAGCGGTACCGGAGTGCCAAGTCTAGGTCCAAAAGACTTCTCAACAGCTTCTACCCCCAAGCCATAAGACTCCTGAACAGCTAATCATGGCTACCCGGACTATTTGCACTGCCCCCCCACCCCATCCTTTTTACGCTGCTGCTACTCTGTTAAGTATTTATGCATAGTCACTTTAACTCTACCCACATGTACATATTACCTCAACTACCTCAACTAGCCGGTGCCCCCGCACATTGACTATGCAACGGTACCCCCCTGTATATATAGCCTCCCTACTGTCACTTTATTCTATTGTATATATAGCCTCCCTACTGTCACTTTATTTTTTACTTCTGCTCTTTTTTTCTCAACACTTTTTTGTTGTTGTTTTATTCTTACTTTTTTGTTTAAAATAAATGCACTGTTGGTTAAGGGCTGTAAGTAAGCATTTCACTGTAATGTCTGCACCTGTTGTATTCGGCGCATGTGACCAATAAAATTTGATTTGATTTGACAGACAGACAGATAGTGTGTATATACACACAAACTATGTCTAGTAACTGCTTTTAACCTGTGATGTACATAATTAACTGATGTTGTTACGTTTTAAAGCCTTTTTCTATTACATTTGTGAGAGGGATGCAACATAATTTTGTTCTGCTGTGCACTTAGCAATAAAGTTAATCTTCAATAACAACTAGGCCTCTTCTAGAAATTGACCTGGTGGACACCTGAATAATTATTACAAACTGTGTAGTACTTTCCTGCATTATTATCAACGTCTGATTGTGTCTTTTTGGACAAACACTTGTTCTCGTGGTCGAGTAACAACAACTGCGCTCCTTGAGTGACGGGGTGGTACTTGGTGAGAGAGGGAGAGAGACGACCCAAATTGCGGAGTAAACTAGAAAAACGGACGTTACACATGGCGGAGTGGCATTACCACATTTAACAAACCAAACATTGAAATACCGTTATAGAAGGTAAAGTAAAAACCCAAACTGGTCTGTGCATCAATACCGGTATATAGTAATATATAGGCAACATACCGTAAATCTGTATCAATTATGTATCAGTTTTACATGTGACCCATATCAAATTTGCGCATTCACACTGAAGGAGCACACAAATGCAATGCTCATTTGGCGTGATTGTCGTGGTAACACAGGTGAAAAAAAATCCTGAATGGTATCCTAATGGCAGCCATTTTGGTTAGGGAGAAATACAAACAACTCTACTGCCATACATTCCAATTAGACTGAAGGCATACAGTTGTGTCCAAATATATTGGCACCCTTGGGCTTTTCTTAAATAATTCCCTATTTCTTCTAAAATCAGTTGAAATTTGAGAGGAAAAAATGGGTCTCCACACCTTTAATTATATTTCTGTAAACTTAAGTTTACAATTGTAATTTAGAAAATATAGACAAATGTCATGGACTAAATTATTGGCACCCTGGAGCTAGTACTTGGTTGCACAGCTTTTGGCCAAGATAGCTGCCAACATATGCTTATTGTAGACATCAATGAGCTTGCTGCACCTTTTCTGCTGGCAATTTGGCCCATTCTTCAGCAGCAAACTGCTGTAATTCTTCAATGTTTGAGGGTTGCACTCCACCAACTTATTTTTTCAGATCTTGCCAAAACTAATGTGGTCCCGTGTAGCTCAGTTGGTAGAGCATGGCACTTGCAACGCCAGGGTTGTGGGTTCGTTTCCCACGGGGGCCAGTATGAAAAAATGTATGCACTCTTAACTGTAAGTCGCTCTGGATAAGAGCGTCTGCTAAATGACTAAAATGTAATGTAAATGTCTTCTCTTTCCTTTTAAAATACTAAAACAAATATAATTGTGACGGCTCTATGATAATCACTCACTTTGATGACCAGACACATTTAGGCTTTTAAACTGTTGTAAGTGAACTATTCATCTTTCTAACAGCATCTTTATCAGCCAATAGTAAATATAGTTATTTACCTGATTGTTAGCATGCTTTCTGTGAACCTCTGGACAAGTGCTTTAATGAAGACAGGGTCGATGTTCCTCTTCTGCAGCTGGCTGAAAAGCATGTCCACATTTGGCATGATCTTGTGGAACAGTGCCAGGAAAAAACAGAAAGCCTCGTCTTCGAGCATCCTCACAAAGCCCCCCGCCTCTCTGACAGTCGGGGCATCAAAGTTCCCAGAGTCTCTGATGGTCTGGAAACACGTTAGGAGGTCATCCCTGTACTCGTACACAGTGTTTACAGCGCGACTGTGGAAGTTCCACCGTGTTGTAGAGGCTCTGGGGAGTCTATGCGCAACCACTTCGTCAAGCACGGTGGTTCGCTTGGGAGACCTGGAGAAGAAAGCAGAAAATCCTGCAAGGTCGGAAAAGAAAGTGCCGATCCTGGGGATGCGTGAAGTAGCCTGCTGCATGATGAGGTTCAGCTGATGTGCATAGCAGTGGACGTAGTGCGCATTTTCGTACACATCCACTATTTTACGCTGCACTCCGCCGGTGGCTCCCCTCATCACACTTGCTCCGTCGTAAGCCTGGGCAATAAGTTTGGCCTTTTGTCCATGTGAGAGTATGGTGCTGAGCCTCTCCAGCAGCGCTGTAGCGATGGTGTCGGCGGTTGCGTTCTCGATCAAAATGAACTTGAAAAAACGCTCTTGGACGTTACTTTTAGCATCGATGTAGCGTATCACAAGCACCAACTGGCAGTGGGTGGAAACGTCAGTCGTCTCGTCAGCTTGAATGGCGATAAAATCAGCACTCTTTACTTCCTCCAGGATGTAATCCTTAAGCACTGACAACATACAGTCCAACAGCTCGTTCTGTATCGTCTTTGACGTGCCCTTAAAAACGGTAGCTGTCTTCAGGTGCTCCTCCAGCACACTGTCGAGGGAGGCAACAAAATCCACTAAGCCCCGGAAAATGCCGGGGTTGTCCGAGGAGTCAGTCTCCTCGTGCCCACGCAAGGCCAACTCAAAAGCCCCACAGAACTTCACACAATCGATAATTTTGGATAGAATGTGCCTGTTTTTATCCACCTCCTCATTGTGTTTCCTCACCGCAATCCTGTGGCCGTCATCCAGCTGCGTAGCAATGTTCACCCTTCCTAATACAGCTAGCTTTACAGAGTTGTCCATGTGTGCCCTGGTGTTCTCATGTTTCTTTACCTTCTCTGACAGGTGCTTCATATCCCTCACTCCGGTACCTGTCCATGCTGAATCTGACCCCGTCGTTTTAAAAAGCAAGCACGGAAAGCAAAATAAAGCATTAGCATCAGTGCACCCAGCTAGCCAAGCCTTCCTGGTGTACCAGCTACGGGAGAAGCCGCGCATATACTGCTTCCCTTTCTCGCTAGCCTGCTGTCTGATTGAGAGGTCAGGTTGATCTGGGCCCAGCTCTTTCACCCGAACTTTCTCTGACAAAGTTCTCCTCTCAAACGGATCTTGGAAGAGAGATTTCACCGAGTTAGGGTTGGGTCTTGGAGGAGTAACGTTTGCGTTCGCCATTGTCGTCTAGTAAAAATGGCGCCACTGGAGCCCGGTCCTTATTTTATCAGGGGCGAGCTTGGGGCGATAAAATAATCGCCCTCCTTGGATTCGAATTAAAATCGCTGATTAGCTACATTTTATGTCATACATTCATATCTTAAATTAGCAATTGGCTTAACTGCTACGTAGACCCGCCTCCTCGGGGCACTTTCTGTATCGCCCAGAGCTGACGAGGCGTTTGACAGGCAGAGGAAAGGTTGCGAATATGATTTTCTATCATATCTTACACATATTACTGTGTGCATTCCATATTTCAAACACACAAATATTGACATACTGATGTTTTTATTATTATTATTATTATTTTTATTTTTTTATTTTTTATTTATTTTTTAAAAATAATTTTATTTAAGGGGGCGGCGCCCTAGCGCCCTCTATCGGCCAGCCGCCACTGGTTAAACATAATTTACACCAGATACTTCCAGAATCCTCATGGTGTTCTCCCATGCAGTGTCTCAATTCTGTAGTGACCTTGAGTTTGTATCTGTTGTTGTCTAGGTTGTTATAACACTGTACATGATTATTCTTGCTGCATTGACATGATAAATCATTTGTAAAGTTTGGAAGACAATTACTATGTATTGTATAGTAAGCTAGTAGCCTATGACGGTCATATCAATGCAATACTAGTCAGCTGGACGGATGTCAGGAAGTGCGCCTGCTCAGTTTGTCCCTGACGTTGCGCGCACGCTCAGTTCTGCTCACAGGTTATTCATTATAAAGGCACAAGTCGTTTCGTCTCTTTCCACCTTCAGCCATTTTGACAATGTTAGGAGCTGTGGGACGCTGCTGCACCGGGGCTCTCCAGGCACTTAAGCCTGGGGTCCAGCCCCTGAAGGCCCTCGTTGGATCTCCATCTGTCCTTGGACGTAAGATTTGCAAGCATTTTTTATTTTGCAAGGGGAGCTAATGCATTGGAAAAGCGCAGTTCGGAGCGGCCCTGGTATTAGGCTAACGTTAGTTAACTTCAGCCCAAAGCAACACGCTGGCTTCCTTCACTGTAGTAGGCCTCACTTTTTAAATCTATAATTTCGTCTACTGATTTAATATTGAACGTGAAACTTATGTCATGCATTCAATTTAATTGTTATACTCATATGTGACCCAAGTACATATAGCTGTGTGACATGATTTTTGTGCAAATAGAAATGACCTTTGTATGTCATGACATGAGGTTTGGAGGCTCGCGCTAGCGAGTGCATACTGTGGCTAGCTAGCCAGCTAACTGTCATTGGAGCTAACTAGTCAAATAGCTTAGAACGAGTATACATTCATTTCTAAATGTTTTGCCAATTAGGTAGTAATTTGTAATACGTTGGCTAAAGTAGCTAGCGTGCTATCCATCTGACAACTAGCTAACGTTAGTTAACTGATTAGGCCAAGTTACAAAAATACAAACGTCACCTTAGCTTTCAATTTGGTTGGCTTGACTTTTGTTGTTCTTCGAAGGGAGTCGTTTTCTATGAATTTGGTAACTAACTAGCTGATTACTTTAATGGCTGAGCTGTAGCTAATTCTGCTACACAACATGGCCGAAAATACTTGACATTGAGTTTGCTTCAGTGTTTGCTCTTGCGCACATAGCTAGATACACAGGTGCGGTTTGTAGGCTAGTTTGACAATGATCAGCCGACATCACTGCGTGTTATTGATAGTTAATTCACAACAAGGTCATATGGTTTTGGGACAATGCATGCTTACACTGGTTTACTTTTACAGGCAGAGACTACTCTGCACCTGCTGCTGCTGCCGCCTTCGCCCATGGCAGGATCGTAGCGGTCATCGGTGCCGTCGTCGACGTCCAGTTCGATGAGGGCCTCCCACCCATCCTCAATGCCCTGGAAGTAGCTGGGCGTGAGTCCAGGCTAGTCCTGGAGGTAGCACAGCATCTTGGTAAGTCACTTGGCCTGCGTTTAGAGGCAGCCTAATTCATATCTTTTCCCTCTCATTGGTCTTTTGACCAATCAGATTGGCCCTGTGTAAAGATAAGAATTTGGCTACCTGTGTAAACTCAGGCATTGCACCAACATTGTATAATCAATAACGTCCATCTCAGATTTGATTGGAATTGCATCCCAATAAGCTGTTATGTGGACTTTCAGGTGAGAACACTGTGCGTACCATTGCCATGGATGGTACAGAAGGTCTTGTCCGTGGACAGAAGGTTGTGGACACTGGCGATCCCATCAGAATCCCAGTGGGTCCAGAGACCCTGGGCAGAATCATGAACGTCATTGGAGAGCCCATTGACGAGAGGGGACCAATCTCCACCAAGCAGTAAGCACTTTGTCTATCAGCCAATTCATAATAGTTTTAGAAATGGCAATCACAACATTTACATAAATATTCAATTATCTCCAAGACTCCAAAAATAGTCTCAAGACTGTCTGAATGATAAGCAATTGGAAATTGCTTGTTCAAAGTAAAGTGTTGGCTCTAATTGTTTTAAATTGTGTTTTTTAGTACCGCAGCCATCCACGCTGAGGCCCCAGAGTTCACTGACATGAGTGTGGAGCAAGAGATCCTGGTAACTGGCATCAAGGTGGTAGATTTGCTGGCTCCCTACGCCAAGGGAGGAAAAATCGGTACGCGGGACAACTGACATCCTCATTCTTTCACTTTTTGCAATTAATGAGCTAATGAACGTTTAACGTTAAATTGTGTCATTTTCTATAGGTCTGTTCGGTGGTGCTGGTGTGGGCAAGACTGTGCTGATCATGGAGCTGATTAACAACGTGGCCAAGGCCCATGGTGGTTACTCTGTGTTCGCCGGAGTGGGAGAGCGTACCCGCGAGGGAAACGACTTGTACCACGAGATGATTGAGTCGGGTGTCATCAACCTGAAGGATGACACCTCCAAGGTGAACAACTGGCTACATTTGACAGTCATAAGCGGGTGCTTCCATTTTACCCCTAAGGTTGAAGCCTGCGTGGAAATCGAATTTCATAATGAGACATCCCTGTAATCTGTCAGTTTAAGCTAGAGATGTTTTTTTGTTGCTTTGGATGCGTCTGTCGCCTATGTAATACTTCTGCGTTTGCAGTGAAAGGTGACAGAGCTAGAGCGGTGTCTGTCAGACCATGAGACGTCCCAAAAATCGGTCTCTAGTGTCCGACCGGTTTGGCCTACAAACTATTATGACCCCTCTATAGAAAGATGACTCTCACAAACACGATGGTGTTCTCAGTTTTGCTCTTGGGACTCGTCTGAAATCGGTACAGCCGATCTGCTAACTTCTGTCTGTAGTGTCCGAACAGTTTGGGCTACACACTAGTATGACCCCTCTGTGTAAAGGTGAGACTCACGAACACGTACATATTTTGCTCTAGGATGCCCACAGGCCTCACGACTCATCTGAAAGTCCTCTGATACCAGTCAAATAAATTAATGGAAGTGTGGAGATTGTTTAGTGACAAATATAAGGGGTTAAATAAAAAGAACTGTTTCCTGACCTTCTCTCAGATATAGGACCGACACTTCAGAACAAATTTCCTTTAGGTAATGTCAAAATTAAAGGCGCAATATGCAGAAATCGCTCGGACATTTCCTGGTTGCATAAATACGAATAATCTGCCTAATTTCAGTTTGACAAAACAAGCATAGAGAAACATTGTACCTAAGACACAGAAATGAAACTTAAAAACGGGAAGGATAGAATTGGAGCACATAGAACAGATCTACCACTTCTTAGACTTGCTTTCAATGAAAATGTCTGCTCTATAACTCACATTTCTGTGAATTTGGTCAGGTTGCCCAAAAAGTTACATATTGCAGCTTTAAGTAGCATAACACATGTCTGGAAAGTTGACCTCATTACCGACTTGATGTTCACATCAGCCTCTCCCCTTTAGTTTCTATTATGGTTTGACCTAGATGTGTACTCTAACAGTGCCCTCTCCTCCAAACCCCTAGGTGGCGCTTGTTTACGGACAAATGAACGAGCCCCCAGGCGCCCGTGCCCGTGTGGCTCTGACTGGTCTGACCGTGGCGGAGTACTTCCGTGACCAGGAGGGTCAGGATGTGCTGCTCTTCATCGACAACATCTTCCGCTTCACCCAGGCTGGCTCCGAGGTATCTGCCCTGCTGGGTCGTATCCCCTCCGCTGTGGGTTACCAGCCCACCCTGGCCACTGACATGGGTACCATGCAGGAGAGAATTACCACCACCAAGAAGGGTTCCATCACCTCTGTGCAGGTAAGCTGGCATTCAAGCAGCATAGGCCTGTTGGAGGACCATGCTAACATGGCAATTCGTAGCACCCAATAGTCTGACATGGCTTCAAGACTGAAATGCAACCTGTGAAAATAACAAACTGTCCTTTCTAAGGCCATCTATGTGCCCGCTGACGATTTGACTGATCCTGCCCCTGCCACCACCTTCGCTCACTTGGACGCCACCACTGTGCTGTCCCGCGCCATCGCTGAGCTGGGTATCTACCCCGCTGTGGATCCCCTGGATTCCACCTCCCGTATCATGGACCCCAACATTGTTGGCGCTGAGCACTATGACGTTGCTCGTGGCGTGCAGAAGATCCTCCAGGTTAGTGTCTTGAAGCCCCCCTAGTGTATCACTCACCCCAACCTTATAGTTATTTAACCTTTATTTAACTAGGCTAGGCCTACTATATTTATTTCTCAACTTTCCTAATATTAAGCACATTGCTTATCTTTACAGCAGGTGTATAGCCTACCTGGCTGGCATGAAAATGAACCACGGGAAAAGCGTCCTCCATTTTGCTATTTAAGTGCATAGATAACATGTATTTTTTTTCCCCCTGCCCCTGTTTTGAGACAGGTGCATGATAATGGTCCATTCTAATTCAAAACAAATTTCACACTTATTTAGTATATGACAAGACTAAATCAAGAATAGTATGATGGGTGACAATATTAGCCTATCACTTGTGAAATATATATGATCAATTGTGAATGATGCCCAGTTTAAGGCTAGAAATGCTGCATGCCTTTGCGACTTTTTCAAATCAGTCTGACATCAGCCTAGCCCATAGGCCTATATGTTTTGATTAAAGTTTGTATCACAACTAAAGTGGCCAAATAACTTCTTTAGAATGAATCACATTAATCTGCTTTACAGCAGGTGTAGCGCCTAACTGGCATACATTTTCAAGTTTGGGGAGATCATTTTCGCCATAAATGCACTACTTCGCCATAAAAGCATTACTTGCATAATCACATTGGCGGTCACTTTAGAATGGTGTTTTCCTGCTAATGGAACATTCCCGCTTATAGCCTACTGCCAAGTGCTCATTGCTGCCTAATTTCTCAATGTTAAGCTAAACGTTCTGATCTGTTGCGTCAGCCTCATTACGTCAAAGGTTTTTTGATGCTAGTGGTTGTGTTAATTTGGGATCTATCGCATCCCACAACTGTCCCAGGCTATTTACATTTTATTCATTTAGCAGATGCTCTTATTTAGAGCGACTTACAGGAGCAATTAGGGTTAAGTGCCTTGCTCAAGGGCACATCAACAGATTTTTCACCTAGTCGGCTCGGGGATTAGAACCAGCGACCTTTCGGTTACTGGCACAACGCTCTTAACCACTAAGCTACCTGCCGACTATGTTTGTAATATTTATTTCTCGTATAGAATAGGTCAACTTTTGTACTATGGGGGATAGATTGACTAGTGCTTTTGCTGTTTGTTAGGGCTACTCATCTTGTTGGCTGACAAAGTAAATGTGAACAGTTCTTCCAATATCTTCAATATGCGCCTCGGAATTGGATAAGGATGCCTGCAGTTGGGTCCCCGACGTGTCTGTCTGGGACTTACCCAATCACGTGACTGAGCCATGTGAGTGATAGGTCCTTCGAAGCTGGGAGAAGGGAATTATAATTATATTCAGCCCAATGGCCACTGGCTGCAAAAGGCATTTTTTGTTTTAGGGGGCATTACGGCCACACAAAGGGGATGCAGCTGGGAAATGATGTTCCAAAGTTCTGCATCAGTGGCTTGTAGGCTATGTGTGGGAGCCAGGAGATGCTAAATGTGTTTATGTTCATTAACGGTCCATTACCGTGAGACCGGCAGTTATGTTTGACAATCACAGTCTGATAATGTCATGACTGCCACAGGCCTAACCCTAACATTATGCCTTCAACTCTCCCCTCTCCCAGGACTACAAGTCCCTGCAGGATATCATTGCCATCCTGGGTATGGATGAGTTGTCTGAGGAGGACAAGCTGATTGTCTCTCGCGCTCGCAAGATCCAGCGTTTCCTGTCCCAGCCCTTCCAGGTGGCTGAGGTCTTCACCGGTCATGCTGGCAAGCTGGTGCCCCTCAAGGAGACTATCAATGGCTTCCAGAGCATTCTTAATGGTATGTTGTACTTGTAATTAGGTTTAAAGGTAGACTCTGCAATATGACGTAGATGCACAAAGTAAACAGCTTAGTGGGTCAATTTCTGCAACTACTAAGTGTTGAAGCAGGTGGTTAAACGTTGCTATTTTGGTGCCGTGGCTCCCATGTTCTGTGAATCGAATCTATATATATATATGGAGTCTTGCATCTCGCTCATCGCAATATCTGCAGTGCTGCTCATGGCAACGTCATTTCGCTCAGTCTACCTTTAAACTGATGAATATCCTTGGTGTTGTCGGGGTGTGAAATTCTGATTTGTCTTGAGCTAAGTGTATGGTCATTCTTTCCCTCAAGGTGAGTACGATGCCCTGCCCGAACAGGCTTTCTACATGGTCGGACCCATTGAGGAGGTGGTTGCGAAGGCTGCACAGATGGCTAAGGATCTGGCATAAGTTAACTGAGGGGAGGGAGAGAAGCAAAGGATTGGAGAGTCCTGTAGTAGGAGCACTTGGTTTGTAAGAATGTCACATGCAACAATTATCTGTATTGTCATCCTGAAAAGTTATATTTAATGTTTCCAATGGAATAAAGATCTGTCTTGACAATTTGGTTTGGTGTCTACTGTATATTTTGTAGCATTTTTCAATGTATTGTAATGTTGCAATGCTATTCCTGTCTGGGTGCTGTCAGACTGGTTGTAAAATGTCATCCTACAGCACTGATCCACTAGATGGCGTTCAAAGGCTTTGTACAATGCATTGGCTTGAGGAGTGACTAAATAAAACGCCTGTTAAAGTTGAGGGAAGTTTGTCATTCCTTGCGCAATGTGCAGTGATATATTTGTAAGATGCTTTTTAGACCAGAATGTGATGCATTTTATTAGACCTACAGTAATTATAGAATGCTTGACTTATAGCTTGTTGGCTTACTGCTGAGACATAAATCAGACCTGTTCATGTTATATTAAAGGTGCAAAATGTAGAAATCACTGCGATTTGCTAGTAGTTTGCTTAATTTCATTTGTGATAAGCAGTGTAGAGAATCATTGTACCATCAAAACTGCTGTGAAATACCTCTTTCAATAACCAAAAAGTATTGTTTGATGCTGGTGTACGAAAGACTCAAATGAAACATGAGAATGGAACAGATCTACCGCTTCTTAGACTTGCTTTCAATGAGTGACAGATCCATAACTAACTTCTGAATTTGGTTGGGTCGCCCCAAAAAGTTACACATTGCAGCTTTAATATTGCTATGAAGATGTTTTGAAAGGACCAACAAATAAGCTAGACAGCATTAATAAATGCAATCCAGATTCCTACCACAGCTGTAAAGGCCAACTGACAGTTCTCTGATACTAGATGAATAACCTTCCTTTGCTGCAGATGGATAAAATAAATTGGTCTGGGTGGAAGATCAAAGTTTGCACTCGATAGCCCTGCTGAGCAGAGAAATGATAATGTGAACATGCTAATGTGTATGGATTTAAGGTAGAAATCTGACATGGGCTGCAAGATCGAAATAAAAGGGTGTACATCTTTCATAGACGTTCTTATCTCCTACCAATATTTACAATTGCTATAGAATTTGATATTTATGTCCTGAACGTAGAGGTATTTGAATCATAGCTGCCAATCTCAGTGAAGTTGAGAATCTGTGTCACGATCGTTCATCGACGAGACGGACCAAGGCGCAGCGTGATATGCATACATGTTTATTTAAACGTAATAAACAACGGCAAAACAATAAACGAAAAGTCCAAGGTAGACACAAACAACATACCTTTAACGGAACAAGATCCCACTAGTGCCAATAGGCTGCCTAAGTATGGTCCCCAATCAGAGACAACGAGCGACAGCTGCCTCTGATTGGGAACCACACTGGCCAACATAGATCTAGACAACCTAGATCACAAACATAAAAAATCACACCCTGGCTCAACAAATAAGAGTCCCCAGAGTCAGGGCGTGACAGTACCCCCCCCCCCCCAAAGGTGCGGACTCCGACCGCACAACCTTTACTTAACAGGGTAGGGGCCGGGTGGGCATTCCGCCTCGGAGGCGGATCCGGCTCCGGGCGTGACAACCACCTATTCTCCGCCTCCCTGTTGCGCCCCTGGTCTGGTCTGGACCTTGGCGCGCTGCTTCCCCTCTTCTTCCTCCCACTGTACTCCAGGCCCTGTCTGGACCCTGGTGTGGGAGACCCCGAACCTGGAGAGGGGCTGACGTCTGGGTCTGGACTGGAGCCGCTGACCGGAGCTGGACCAGGGCACCGGTGGAGCGGACTGCTCAGGCTCCGGACTGAAGCCGCTGACCGGATCTGGACTAGACCCCGGTGGAGCGGACTGCTCTGGCTCCGGAGTGGAGCCCGGTGGAGTGGAGCAGCTGACCGGAGCTGGATCAGGCACCGGTGGAACGGGCACGGGCCGTGCCGGACTGGACACACTCACCACTGGCTTGGTGCGAGGGGCAGGAACAGGCCGGGCCGGGCTGGCGACGCGCACCACTGACTTGGTGCGAGGGGCAGGAACAGGCCGGGCCGGGCTGGCGACGCGCACTACTAGCTTGGTGCGAGGGGCAGGCCGGACCGGGCTGGCGACGCGCACCACTGGCTTGGTGCGAGGGGCAGGAACAGGCCGGGCCGGGCTGGCGACGCGCACCACTGGCTTGGTGCGAGGAGCGGGACTGGGTTCCTTTATTAACCCCCGCTCCCTCTGCTGCCTAACCAGCTCCTCTCACCGTGCCTCTACACTTTCCTTCTCCCTTTTAGCCTCCTGTAGCTCCTCCCTCTGACCGAATAACTCCTGCTCCCTCTGAACCAATAGCCCCCGTAACATGGTGGCCTCCTAACCTGCAGATTCGCCCTTCCACGGCCTCCTGCTGCCTCGTCATCCACCCCGTGTGCCCCCCCCCCCAATTTTTTTTATTGGGGTTGCCTCTCGGGTCTCCGTCGTCTGCACTCCTCTTCCCGTGAGGACTCCTCCGGGAGCCCCCACGAGTTAGGGACAGAAACTCGTCGTCGTCGTCATTCTCCGACTCCTCAGTATAATACTGTTCCCACTCCTCTTCCCATGGTCGTGGGGACCCAATCTTGAAACCAACCGGGTGCAATGGTCGGGGCTCTTCTCTCTTGCTCCCCGACCACCCCTTTAGCCCCCCCAAAATGTTTTCTTGGGGCTGCTTCTCGGGCTTCCTCCTCGGCCGGCTTCCGTGTTGCCGCTGCTCCTCTCCTGCCTGGGCTTCCTTCTTCGCCCAGGGTCCTTTTCCCGAAAATATCTCCTCCCATGACCACCACTTGCCCACCTGTGACATGGCTACTCTCTCCGCCTGGGCACGCTGCTTGGTCCTCGTTTGGTGGGATCTTCTGTCACGTTCGTTCATAGACGGGTCAGACCAATGCGCAGCGTGATATGCATACATGTTTATTTGAACCGAATAAACAACGACAAAACAACAAACGAAACGTGTCGTCCAAGGTACACAAACAACATACCTCACACGGAACAAGATCCCACAACTACACAGTGCCAATAGGCTGCCTAAGTATGGTCCCCAATCAGAGACAACAAGCGACAGCTGCCTCTGATTGGGAACCACACTGGCCAACATAGAAATACACATACTAGAACCCACATAGAAAATACAAAATAGAAAATCACACCCTGACTCAACAAATAAGAGTCCCCAGAGTCAGGGCATGATAATCTGAATGATTCAAAGCTTGTGAACTTCCTTTTTGGTCACTTATTGCGGGTTAACCTTCATCCCAATATCATCACAGAAAGACTGTCAAACCTAATCCCCATTTCTCTTGTAACGTTTTCAAAGACCAACCCAACACTGCCCATGTCATACTGGCCAGAGATGGAAGAGGAAGCAAGACATCCTACCCCCTCATTTTATTTTTCAATGAATTAAGTAGACCAGACCCAGCTGTGATTGCATTGGTGTCTATGGTAGAGCCACTCCCTTAAGTAAACTGGAACTGAATTTTTTTTCCCAAATGGTAAACGGCCTGAGTGAACTATCTTCATTTATCAACCATTGTACTGGCATAGAGAATGCACTGAATAAAAGGGGAAACAAGTGGTACCAAATAACAATTATGGCTTTTATTTTTTTTGTTACAGGTCAGAGGTTAAACCTTACATGGATATGTAAAATTAAAATGTGTCTGTAGCAAAGCTTACATCATACTGTATCTCAGCCTGCAGACAGTAGGGTACAAAAGTGTTATATTCATTAAAGACAAGCAGTAGCACAGCACAAACAAGTATTTGTTCTGACAGCATAAACGCTGACAATCTTACATCAGCCTTAGTTGACAGCCTTGGCTGGTAGGATGGCTTCCTTGAGCAGTAGCCAGTCGGCCAACCCGGTTGGCATGTAGGACAGAGGGATCCAGAAGAACTTGGCGTCCCACCCTGGCGAGTAGCGGGTGCGAGGACGGACGGCAGAGACAGCGTGCTCCATACAGCTCACCACCTTCATCAGGTCGGCGTCGGACATCTTGACAAGCTTCTCCTTCATCATCACGTCCACTAGAAGGGACAGGGAAGGTTAGCAACCATGTTACTACACGTTTGTCTTTAGCTATTCAAGATGGCCACTTTCACTAGAGAATAATGCTTTTTGAATAGATTCAATCCTTTGAAAGACTGGATGTCACAGAGGGTAGACAGAATACAAAAATAGCCAAATCTTGCATTGGCTAAATAAAACATTTGTGCAAATTAATACATTCGAGAATGTAGGAAACTAAAACTTTTATATTTACCCTTGTCCAAATAATCAGGTCCATAGTCATCTCTGACTTCTTGTGGCATCTTCTCCCACAGCTGCTTGATGCTTTTCCCCAGGACTGTCGAGTCGGTAACGGTGGTCTTGAAAAAGCCTGGCTCAATGCAGAGGACCTTGACTCCAAAAGGTACCATGTTTCTCCTGAAAAACATGGTAACAAAACTTCTGTTTACAAATGTACTTCTGATATGTTACAGATTTGTATAGTTTCATTCGCTGAAGTCAAACAGTCAAAGTTGTATTGCTTATGGTTCACAATGGCTAGATTATTGAATGTATGTAAAAACACTGATTTAAAATATGGCATGGATATGATAGTAAAAAGGGTTCTTGTTTCACCTAAGACTGTCATTGAAGGCCTCCACTCCATACTTAGACACGGTGTAAGGTCCTCCGACAGGACTAATCCTGCCGAACACACTGGCTACGTTGACCACACGACCCCTGGCCTTCTTGATGAGGGGCAGCACACTCAGGGTGACTGCGATGACCCCGTTCAGGTTCACATCCAGCATGGACTTGTAGTCATCAATGGTCAGCCAATCACAGGGGGCCGAGGGGATGGCCACACCCGCGTTGTTCACCACAGCCCACAGGCCTAGAAGGTGACAGGTCATTACGTAGCTTTATGAACATCCATTATTTCACAGGTGTTTGGTAAGAAGAGGACATAGTAAGGACAATGATACTGGCACATGAATGTCAAAATGTAACTGAACTGGTAATATTGCATAATTTGACTGGTATGACTGGACACAAATGATGATAGGACTGTTTGCTTTTCAATATCAACACTGACACTCACCCCTAGCCCCGACTTTGTCTTTAATCAAAGCAGCTGCTTTGTCGACGCTCTCGTTCTTTTTGACATCCAGGTGGAGGGTGGTGAGTCTGTCTGAACAGGCCTTCCTCAGATCTTCCTCTCCCTTCTCTGTGAAGCAGGATGCGATCACACAGAAACCCAGCTTGTCCAGATGTCTGGCCAGTAGGTTGCCGAACCCAGAGTCACACCCCGTGATGTAGACATATTTGTCTCCTTTGTCTGGGACTCTGGGGATCTCCCGGAACCAGCGGTACAGGTAGTAAAACACCACCAGCCCAAGGAGGTACAGGAACATGTCTGGGACAGGATAAGACAGACAACCTTCTAATAAGTCATCTCATGGACTGTCAGTCCTGGCAAACATTGAGCCTCTGCCTGTGATTAAGTGTGGTCACATCTACCCAGCCCCATCCCCCATTCCTCAGTATACCAAACAAAGTGCCAGTGTCATCACGGGAAGGTACAGAAATGTGCATGTTACACAATATGCGGTTAGACATAAGTCAAGTGGGAAGATAGGAACTGCCTTTTACAGTTCATCACTAATATGCATCTTATAACAATAGCTTATAGTAATGACATTATAGTAGCTATACAGTCCATAAGATCATCAGGAAAATACTTTGAAGATCTTAACCACTTCTAGGAGAGTTCATATAGAAGCAGATCTTGGGCCTAGATATAGGAAAACAGAAACCCACGGGAGTTATGAACCTTATACGAGCAATGCGAGCAAACACGTTATCAATGCCGGTTTCAAAGTGCACTATAGCCTATCTTGTGCAATTGCTCTTTGTAAATAATCAACTGCAAAATGAGCCAATGGCATGCCAAAGTCATTTAAACCACAACTAACAAAACCACATTCAGGGAGAGGTCATTGAAGCGCTTGGAATGACAGAGACAGGATAAACAGAGCAAGGGTCCTCTGTAGCTCAGCTGGTAGAGCACGGCGCTTGTAAAGCCAAGGTAGTGGGTTCGATCCCCTGGACCACCCACCAACATTTTTTATGCACGCATGACTGTAAGTCGCTTTGGATAAAAGCGTCTGCTAAATGGCATATTATTATATTATAAGGATCAACAGTTATCAATGCCGGTTTCAAAGTGCACTATAGGCTATCTTGTGCAATTGCTCTTTGTAAATAATCAACTGCAAAATGAGCCAATGGCATGCCAAAAGTCATTTAAACCACAACTAACAAATACTATTGAAAATGTGGTTCAAATAAAGTGTAAGGAATCTGTACAACACTCCTGCATTTCCAAAGAAGTGAGATTTAGACTAACAACGAACAAGCTGTCTATTGAATGTAATGTGAATCCAATGTTATATGCAAGCTCTCGATTTTTCAACTAACACAATATGGGCAGTCAGGGCGCATGACAAAAGTGAAAGCCCATTGAAACAATATCAAAATACTTTTTTACTATTGAAGAAAAAACACTGCAAGTAGCATCATATAGTGAAGAGTTGGCCTAAAGAATGTCCAACTATTGTCATAAATGCCATGTTATTGATAAAACAAGCTTATTCGTGAGAGGTGTCAAAATAAGAGCTGTCAAACTCGCCATTTCAATAACATGAATGCGCACTGCCCATTACATAATAATAAACTTTTGATCGATCAATTATGATAGATTGTGATAGATAGCCTATCCTCAACTTTTGCATGTTCAAAAAGATTACAATCTGCTGGAATATTAAAGTCATACCTGTTGGAGATGTTCCTTGCCAGTCCAACAAAGTAACAGTTTTCATAAACTACGCAAGACCACAAATTCTGCCCAAGGACGTCACATGTCTAGCACTGACCAATCGGAGCCATTTTGTTATTTAGAACAAATTCTTATTTACAATGACGGCCTACCCCGGCCAAACCCGGAAGACGCTGGGCCAATTGTGCGCCGCCCTATGGGACTCCCAATCACCGCCGGATTGTGATACAGCCTGGAATCGAACCGGGTTCTGTAGTGACGCCTCTAGCGCTGAAATACGCCACTCGGGAGCCGTTAGAACTAACTAGGTCAAAAATGATTTGATTACACCTCGTTTGATAGAAACTTTAAACTACTTAACGTTCTCTTGACTTTAATGTGGAAGGAATATTAAAGTATTCCTTAATCCATATTTCATCAATGTCTAATAGATGATACAAATTCAAAATTAGGCCTACATATTAAATTGCATATTAAATCCAGATATAATTAATAAACAGATGATTTTGACAAAAAATGTGCTTTACATTTTAAAATATGGTTGTCATGGATTACCATTTCAAATAGTTGAACTCAATACTAATTCAAGGTCATGCCTTGTATAGTGATTACAATGATCACTAGATGGCGGCAAATACTTGTACATTTACATTTTAGTCATTTAGCAGACGCTCTTATCCAGAGCGACTTACAGTTAGTGAGTACATACATTATTATTATTATTATTTTTTTTCATACTGGCCCCCCGTGGGAATCGAACCCACAACCCTGGCGTTGCAAACGCCATGCTCTACCAACTGAGCTACATCCCTGCCGGCCATTCCCTCCCCTACCCTGGACAACGCTGGGCCAATTGTGCGCCACCCCATGGGTCTCCCGGTCGCGGCCGGCTACAACAGAGCCTGTTTACAATAGAGCAGGAACAATGCTTGCAGTCTGGACAGCAAAGTGAATTATCATAATGTTGCTGTAATGGGCACCACTACTTACTTTGGGAGTTAATCATTACAAACGGTTTGCTTATTTTGGCTCCCTCTTCACAAGCATGTTTCCAGAACCTTTTCCTCACCTGTCAGTAGCCTTCACAAGCACTGTGTCACAGCCCCAGGGGCACATAGGCCTATTCACCTGCTTCCCCAATGGTGAGAGCAAAACATACCATTTACAGTTATAATTCACAAACAAAAAGGAAAATTGCTTTGAGTTAAAGTACTACTCATGGAATAAGGTTGTGGGCTCAAATTGGAAGTGTTGTTGCTGGTTAGTAATGGCTTCACAACCCCCTGAAAGCAAGTAAAAGCAACAGTGCCAAGGTAAAACATCCCAGCTAGGAGGAAACCTGTGTTATGACAAGACTGCTAAAATGCAAATGCAACGTAAATGTATCACCATAATTCCAGACAGATCATATTGGCTTGTTTAGGACTGAAGAGGACAGCAGCCCTGAGGGTGATGACCGAGAGGGTGTTTGACTTAGCTTCAACTCTTGGAAAGGATCCTGTCTTCACACACTGTTTGTGTTCACATGCAGAAGGATCAATACAGTGTAATATCTTTAAAAGTCATCAATATGATATGATGAATGTGTAACACTGAGGCCAATCATCGATGGATGTTTAATAGATTTTGCCATGGTCTTTGATCACTTTTAAAAAATGCTAGAACAGCTCTTTAACAAAAGTAGGCCTACCTCATAGATTATGATGGTGGTTGGGGCTTTGTATCATTACTTGTTATGTATTCTTGAAAATGATTATCTGACGTTCTCATAACATCCATTTAGCCCTCATTTAAGGTTGAATGTAAGAAAAACACACATCACCGCGTGTGCAATTGCAAGTTTAAAACCCTGATATGCAAGTGATTTTACCTGATTCCTTTTAAATGCAGTGAGATATGTAGTAAAGGGTCTGGATTGGTTGTTGTACCATGCTCTCTCCTACTCTTTGCATAGCTGGGTCATCGGACCCTAGGGCAGTACGAGCTGACAGGACACTTACCTCCAAACACGATCGTATGACCCCAAGTTCCAGCCTGGACCTGGCTTGTGTGTCAAATAAGCACGTGCTGTACAGGGTCTCAGCCTCTTCCAGCCCACAGTTACCCTATCAGTCTACTCTCTACCCACTATCAGTGACCACCTGGCATCTCTACATACAGACAGTGGTGGCCCCAGGCTGTCATGTGGACTCGGCAGCACGTCTTAGTACGGACTGGAGCCCATTGGAGTACTTTACATTTGGATCGACTTTAATGTAAAGAAGCACCTTTGAACTTAAATTGAATATTCAGGTGACTCTGCCCTTTTTGGACAGAATCCAACCAAAGAGGAGAATCATTGTTTTTTACTGGATCTGGAAAATCTGAAAAAGTTGGTAAGTATCTCAGTGATAATACAATACATTTCAATTGGGATGTATTTTGGCTTTGGAATTGATTTTGATTATATATTTTTCCTCTTATAAATGTATTGTAGACAGTCCAGGATGCCTACTGGATCAGTGAAATTACACAGCATCAAAAAGCTGGGAGAAGAAAACAATGGTTTTGATGATGAAGGTACACCTGCATAAATATGATGACGTTCAATTCATGATTCTGATGTCATTTTCCTGACATAAACAATGCTTTAGAAAAATATGATATACCTTTATCATCTCTTTATTACAGAACCTAATGATGCATACATGTAAGTGCATCTTCCTCATATAAAAAACAAAACACTTGTCATTCTGTGTGATTTGTGTTCTTGTTGGTAAAACTGATAAATTAAACAAAAGTTTATGGAATTTCTTATCATGTTTCTCAGAATTGTGACACATAAAAACAAGGTCACATTTAATAGTTTATTTGTTTCTCTGCTGCAGGACGATGGGGAACCCGAAACAGGACACAAAGTAAGTCCCGTTTCTCCTTCTACATTCTTCCCCCTCATGTCCTTAAGGCTTTGACTAATGTCTCTGTGATTGTCCCAGGCCTCCGAACAAGAAGAATGAAGCTGCTATCAGGATTGGCTTCTTTCAGCTGGTAAAGTCCTTTGTTTGTGTTTTTTTTCCCCATAAAGATAAAACAAAACAGTATCTAACTCTATGGTTCCTTCAGTGAAGTCACTGTGCGGTTGTTTAGTGTGAAGGTCACATGAAGACATTTTTATTTGATCTCAGTTTGTATTTGTGTGGGAGAGCTGGTTCATAACTCTTGTACATAAGAACTTTAAACCACAACTGGATTGGAAATCTTCAGAAACGGGTACAAGAATGGTAGGTACATTATGAGAATGGGGCATCATGGGCCAGCCTCATCACACACAGGCAGGTTCCCATGGGGTGCCTATGTTTTGACAATGACTATATGAAAATCTACATAGTTACAGTGGTTAAAGCATGCATATTTTGTCCAGGTATTACATTCTGAGATGGTAGGTCAGATTGACAGAACACCTGTTATGATGACTGACCCATTGGGTTTGGTGTGTGTGTGTGTGTGTGTGTGTGTGTGTATTTACAGTTCCGTTTCGCCACTTGCCGGGAGACCCTGATGATGGTGGGGGGTAGTGTGTGTGCCTTCCTCCACGGTTCCGCCCAGCCTCTCATGCTGCTGGTGTTCGGGATGCTCACCGACACCTTCATCGAGTACGATATCGAGTTACAGGAGCTCCTGGACCCCAGGAAGGAATGTATCAACAACACCATACAGTGGAAGAACCAGTCAGTATGGACAGACTGGCTGGACAGCAATAAGACTGATAAGATGAAGAATTTAACATGTGGGTAAGTCCTATTCGTTGCTGCACACGAGTAGGACGTTGCTATACATGTCATTTCTATATCAAGGATTAAGGATAGAAAGATGTATTTTATTTGACAAGTATAGTAGCCTACTGTCATTGGCAGGTTACACAGGGAAAATGTTCTCCTTATGTATTTTAGGGTAAGGTTAGGGTCTTCTTGTTGTCTCAAGCTGTTGTCTTTTGTAATTATTGTACAGATGTAGAATCTTAATTTGATCACCCTGTTGCAGGAGAACTTTCCTGCAACGCAGGATATTTAAAACCTGTAGTGTAATTGAGGTTTAAAAAGTCTTCTGAAGTTTGTAATTTCCACTTTGAAATTTCAGACTTGATTTTCCCTTACGAAAAATGTATCAACCCCTACAAAAATGTCCATTAATTATAATCCATATTATAATTCACATTCCCTGTAGCTGCAGGATTATTTTCCTGCTGTAGCAAACTGCCTCAAATTAAGATCCTACATCTGTATGACACTCATTTTCAGGCTTCTGGACATTGAGTATGAGATGACCAATTTTGCCTACTATTACGTTGCCATTGGATGCGCAGTTTTCTTGCTAGGATACCTTCAAGTAAGTATATAGTTTGCATCAACATACTGAGTTCAAGCAGTTTGATGGCAGAGTGCTAGATCTTGGTTGCCCTATTTTTATTTTCGTATGTGTTAGATCTCGTTGTGGGTGACGTCTGCAGCGCGACAGATCCAGGTCATCAGGAAGATGTACTTCAGGAAGGTAATGAGGATGGAGATTGGCTGGTTCGACTGCAACTCGACTGGAGAGTTAAACACACGCATGTCAGAGTAAGAGAAAACACAAGCCAAATTCCCTTTTTAGGTTTTAATAGAAAAAGTTCTGGGAATGCTTTGCATTTCTTATCATGCTTAAGAGCAATACAGATGTAGGATCTTAATTTGATCACTCTTTTGTTGCTGAGAATTTTCCTGCACAGCAGGAAATGTAAACTTGTAGTGTATTTGAGTTTTAAAAGGGAAATTCTGCAGTATAAAGGTACTCGGATCCAATAATCTCGTTCCCTGGTGGGCGTTGAAATTTCAGACCTACAAAAATGTCCATTAATTATCGTCCACATAATAATTCACATTTCCAGTTGCTGCAGGATTATTTTCCTGCTGTAGCAAACTGGCTCAAATTAAGAATCTACATCTGTAGTTGTTCTTGAACTTGTGATCTGACCTGGAAATACGTTAATGATTCTCATGATTCTATCTGTGGTGTGCCCCGCTATTTCACAGCGACATCAACAAGATCAATGACGCCATTGCGGATCAAGTGAGCATCTTTATCCAGCGATTCACCACCTTTGTGTGCGGTTTTGCGATGGGCTTTGTGAAGGGATGGAAGTTAACGCTCGTCATCATCGCAGCCAGCCCTCTCATTGGAGTAGGGGCCGCCCTCATGGCTCTGGTAGGACGGTCAACGTCAATCAATGTGGTCACTTCCTATCCCAATATTCTGAAATGGTCCCTTCCCTCCTCTCCGTTTTAATTGTGATCACTCTGTTAGGAAGGGATAGATGAAAGCAATTTACTAGTGGCGACTTCGTAAAGGAGACAATGAAAGTTAAAGGCGACAAGGAAGGCTCATTTATGAGTATTAGGACTAGGCCTATGATTTACATTGTTCATTTACTATGTGTCGATTCTCATTGAGCTCCATTGAGGTGGCAGTTAGTAAGTGTACTGTACTGACTGCACCTTTCTCCTTACCTCCTCTGCTCTCGTCTAGTTTGTGGCCAAGCTGACGGGTCAGGAGCTGCTGGCCTATGCCAAGGCTGGAGCCGTGGCCGACGAGGTGCTCACCTCCATCAGAACGGTGGCCGCTTTCGGAGGAGAGCTGAAGGAAGTGGAGAGGTGACATAATGACATGACTGAAACTGCCCCAACATTGTCTTCTTTAGTTACGTGCTGAATTTGTATGTGTCAATACTCGACAGCCAAATTTCACATTCTTTACCTTGATCAGCCTCACTATATAGTGTTTAATTCCATTAATTGTTTTCTCCTTAAGGGGCAACTATTATCACCACCTTACATATTATATGCAGTGCTGGGCCTCTATCCCAGTTTAAAGTGACGCTCCAGAACCTTTGTATAATTTCATCCAGTAGTTTTAACAGTAGTGCTCACGAGCCAAAACGGGTCCCTGTTTTTTGTGTACTACGTCATCCAATTGTGTACTACATCATCCATTTAGTATGATATGTTACGTCCCAAAAAAATCATAATACTTTGTTGGAATTCGAATGATATGTTACGAATCCAATTCGTATGATATGTTATGAATTTTTTATGCTTAAGATCCCGGATTGCATCTTTAACCCTCTATCCCTTTCTCTCTCTCCCAGGTATGACAAGAACCTGATCTCAGCTCAGCGTTGGGGCATCAGGAAGGGCCTGATCATGGGCTTCTTCACAGGCTACATGTGGTTTATCATCTTCCTGTGTTACGCCCTGGCCTTCTGGTACGGATCCAGCCTAGTGGTGGACACACAGGAGTACAGCCCCGGAACACTGCTACAGGTACTATTCTGTAACCATAACAGTCGATACGATTCAAGGACGATATTGGTTCATTTAGAACGATACGATCCGAAACGATTCAGTGACTTGAAATCGATTCAGTAACCTTTTAGCCAAAAATTCAACCAGTGTGACTGAAATAAATACCTGGTAACCAGTTGCATTTTAATGGCTGGCAATAGTCTTGATATTTTTAACAGTGTTTCATGCCTCCATGCAGACCATCTGGTATTATGAAACTTACCCATACCTACGTTGACAGCAGCCCCGTCTGTGCACACATCCAAGCCTGTGTCCTGGAAAAGTCTCACAAGTCCGTCTGTTATGGCCTGTGCGGTTCGGTCAGCACCCAATTCAATCAGTCCAATAAAGTCTGAAGTAAACTCTCCGTTGCTGGACACAGACACAATGTAAACTATTTCCTGCTCAGTTTTTGTGATGTCCTCAGATCCATCAAAAAGCATTCAGTAAAGGAACATCCTCAGAATAGGAAGACATGGGACGTGCGTGTTTAGCTTTATGCATTTATTCTCGGCTAGCTTTTAGCAATGGCTTGCGCCACATTCGTGTGCTCCTTGCTCTTTTCATGTTGGTCAAATAAAGGATGGTTGAAATTCTTTGAGCCTTTATAAAATGCACCTGTTTTGTCTGCTAGATGTGGATTTGAGCGGCAAATCTTGCACCACATTTCAGTGCGCTCATCGTTAGCTTCAAGCCACTGCACATCTTGGAGCCACTTTTCCGAAAAAAGTATTTTCTTCGGCTCTGGCTCCAGTTGGCGTTTCTTTGTAGGTGGCGAAACGCCAAAAAGGCTGCTTAATGTCTGTTGCTTTTTGGACATCCCTGACAGTAGTTGACAAGCAACATGTCATGTGTAAGGTTAGATGAGAAGATCGGTCAAGTACGCAAAGGCGCGTAGTAACACAAGTGGCATTACGCATTCCTGATTTTTGTCGCGCTTGCGTATCTGCGTACCAGTTATGTGCACCCCTGCATATAAAGTCTGACGTGCTTAAATCCAATGAAGGTATACTTTATAAAGGGTCCATATGTAGTTCAGTTATAGACTATTAATCACATTTATTTGGTTTATGAATTAATAATAAACAGTTAGAACTTAAAAACGAATGATCACCTCATCTGTCCTGTGCACTGTCTTGTCTGTCATTGCAGGTTTTCTTTGGTGTGCTGATAGCAGCCCTGAACTTAGGGCAGGCATCTCCATGTCTGGAGGCCTTTGCTGCAGGAAGAGGAGCTGCTACCATCATCTTTGAGACCATCGACAGGGTAGGAATCTCAGCACTGTTGGAGAATTTCATTGAGCATTCAATTGACTGTGTGTGAACGCTCACTTTAAACAGCCATGATGGTTAACACTGCCATTTGTCTGGCTGTGTCACTGTGTCTAGGAGCCGGACATCGACTGCCTCTCAGAAGCAGGCTACAAACTGGACAAGGTCAAAGGGGACATTGAGTTCCATAACGTCACCTTTCACTACCCATCCAGACCTGAAGTCGTGGTACTGTGGCTTAGTATTTCCTATGACGATGGCATGCATCTGATTATTGTATCGCAGAGTGATTGTGGAATATTTCCTTAAAGATGCAGTCTGTCATTTGCTGGTCTTTGTGCCGTGTCAGATCCTGGACCAGCTGAGTGTTGCGGTGAAGTCTGGCGAGACGACCGCCTTTGTGGGGCCCAGTGGAGCTGGGAAGAGTACCGCCGTGCAGCTCATCCAACGCTTCTACGACCCCAAGGAGGGCATGGTATGTTAACTTCCCTTACTACAGTGAAATGCTTACTTACAGCCCTTAACCAACAGTGCATTTATTTTAAACAAAAAAAGTAAAAATAAAAATAAAAAAATAAAAAGTGTTGAGAAAAGAAAAGAGCAGAAGTAAAATAAAGTGACAGAAGGGAGGCTATATATACAGGGGGGTACCGTTGCAGAGTCAATGTGCGGGGGCACCGGCTAGTTGAGGTAGTTGAGGTAATATGTACATGTGGGTAGAGTTAAAGTGACTATGCATAAATACTTAACAGAGTAGCAGCAGCGTAAAAAGGATGGGGTGGGGGGGCAGTGCAAATAGTCCGGGTAGCCATGATTAGCTGTTCAGGAGTCTTATGGCTTGGGGGTAGAAGCTGTTGAGAAGTCTTTTGGACCTAGACTTGGCACTCCGGTACCGCTTGCCGTGTGGTAGCAGAGAGAACAGTCTATGACTAGGGTGGCTGGAGTCTTTGACAATTTTGAGGGCCTTCCTCTGACACCGCCTGGTATAGAGGTCCTATTAACATGATGTAACACATTTGTAAAATACTACTACTATCAATACAAATGTGCACCTACACTAAAGTGTATCACTGAGAGAGTCTTTAGAGGAAATAGTGTAGAGACATTTGAAATGTCCCTCTCTTTCTCCCTGTTTATGCCTTGTCTCAGGTGACCTTGGATGGCCATGACATCAGAGGCCTGAACATCCAATGGCTGCGTTCATTGATGGGCATCGTGGAGCAGGAACCCGTGCTGTTCGCCACAACCATCGCCGAGAACATCCGCTACGGTCGCCCCGGAGTCACCCTGGAGGACATCATCCACGCCACCAAGGAGGCTAATGCCTACAACTTTATCATGGACCTACCACAGGTGAGGTTGACAGCATTTAGCATGCTATACATTGAGGGCTAACATTACAACGATAGTCTGATCTGGAACCCAGACTACTTATTTGTGACTTTTGTCTCCAGTGTTTTTTGAAAGGCTTAAAAACGTTCAACATTGCTGACTCAACATGACATATTTTTACTATGTACTGTCACATGGCCTATCAGTTCAATGACATAAAGACGTGTGATTGATGCGACAGAAATTTGACACGCTGGTGGGAGAGGGCGGAGGTCAGATGAGCGGCGGTCAGAAGCAGCGTATCGCCATCGCCCGGGCCCTGGTCAGGAACCCCCGGATCCTACTGCTGGACATGGCCACCTCCGCTCTGGACAATGAGAGTGAGGCTGTGGTGCAGGAGGCTCTGGACAAAGTGAGTGGCTGCATCTCAAATGTCACCCTATTCCCTATATAAAGCAGTTATTTTGACCAGGAAGTGTCTTTGCTGGGATCAATTAATTATAGTTAGGATAACTCTTCTGATAGATTGTTTGTATATCAACATGATCAGACCTAAGTACGTGACAAATAGTAGAAGAATAACCATGTAAATAACCGTATTTACAGTAGCTAGGTAGGATAACGGTCTCATGTTTATCTCCTGTAAGGTCCGCAATGGCCGCACCACCATCTCCATAGCCCATCGCCTGTCCACCATTAAGAACGCGGACGTGATCGTGGGCTACGAGCATGGGCGGGCGGTGGAGAGGGGCAAGCATGATGAGCTGCTGGAGAGGAAGGGTGTTTACTTCACTCTGGTCACCCTACAGAGCCAAGGAGACAAGGCTCTCAACCAGAAGGCCAGACAGAGTAGGTCTCTATGGGATCAATGCATCCCCATCCTCTGCCAAAATTCTAAAGTTGACTTGCGCACACTTTCGTCAACATAAAAAAAGTATTAAGAGAGAAATAATTTGCAGGAACACTTTTAACCAAACATTTCTTATAACATTTTGTATAATAACCTCCTTCCTTTTGCTGTGTCAGTGGCAGGCAACGACGAGGCTGAGAAGAAGAGTCTGTCCAGGGCCGGGAGTTACAGGGCCAGTCTCAGGTACTGTAGAACTACATCTCTCATGATGCACTTCACATCCTTTTCACAAGGCCTCACTCACATCTGGTTACATTGAATCTGACACACATCTGGGTGAAGCACGGCAGACATTTTGTGCCAGAATGCTGACTGATGGTGTCATTTTGCATCTCGGTAGTGCATTGACTTGGTGCTTGTGTGTTGTTGTGCAGAGCCTCTATCAGGAAGAGGACTCGCTCACAGCTGTCCAACCTCATTCCAGAAGCAGAATCCTTCATATCTCAGGCAGACGCGGGCAAGGTCAGTGTGTGTGTGTGTGTGTGTGTGCACGCGTGCATGCGTGCGTGTGTGTGTGTGTGTTTGAGTGAAGGAGGTTGGTATGGGAGTCATCAACAGGGTTAAACGGGGGTACTTGCCACTTACCCTTTCCCAGTAATCTACAGTTTACACATGCATTTGTTATGCATGTATCCATGTATATTTGTGTCCATGTCTTTATGTGTCCAGAGTGCCTTTGTGGAGGAGGAGGAGGTGGAGGAGCTTGTTGAGCCTGCTCCAGTGACCAGGATCCTGAAGTACAACGCCCCTGAGTGGCCCTACATGCTGTTTGGAACCATCGGAGCAGCTGTCAACGGAGGAGTCAACCCAGTGTACTCCCTGCTCTTCAGTCAGATTCTGGCGGTATGGTGGAGGGGTGTAGTATTGACCAAGACAGTCTTCATTGAATATCGGTTAATTAGCTTAATCAGTGTATGTGTGTGTGTGTTCTTGCAGACATTCTCCATACCAGACCCAGAGGCTCAGAGGAGGGAGATCAATGGTATCTGCATGTTCTTTGTGCTGGTCGGAGTGACTTCCTTCATCACCCAGATGCTCCAAGTACATGTCCCTCCCTCCCTCCCTCCCTCCCTCCCTCCCTCCCTCCCTCCCTCCCTCCCTCCCTCCCTCCCTCCTTCCTTTCCTTTATGTTCACCTGTCTTTTTTTACTTGATCTAAAATACATATTTAATCTTCACATCAACCGGATCCTTTCTCCTGCTTGTCTAAACTCTGTGAAAAAGAGAAGCCTATTTCTCAGTGTTTTTGTCATTCATATTCCATGTTTCCCTTAACCTGATCTGATGGTGTCGGTGTCTCCACCAGGGCTATGCCTTCTCGAAGTCTGGGGAGCTGCTGACACGGCGCTTGAGGAGGATGGGTTTCCACGCCATGTTGGGTCAGGAGGTGGGCTGGTTCGATGACCACAGGAACAGCCCCGGGGCTCTGACCACACGGCTGGCCACTGACGCCTCCCAGGTCCAAGGGGTCAGTATGGACCTCATTTGGTCCTCATACCCTAGGGCAGTTACCAGACCCCAGACCAAATAGTATTAGTGTCTTTCAAATACTTGATTTAATGGAGTGCTATGGAACCAATGCAGTAGACCCAAAAGCAAACCTCACCCATCTGGCATTCTGGGTAAATAACCTATAACCTATTCCCTCGTCCTCTCCTAGGCCACGGGCTCTCAGATCGGCATGATCGTCAACTCTCTGACCAACATTGGCGTGGCCGTCATCATCTCCTTCTACTTCAGCTGGAAGCTCAGCCTGGTCATCATGTGCTTCCTGCCCTTCCTGGCTCTGTCCGGAGGCTTCCAGGCTAAGATGCTCACTGGCTTCGCCAAGCAGGACAAACAGGCCATGGAGGATGCAGGACGGGTAGGCTACAGTACTCCACTGACTCACTGGCCAGGGCTGTTTATAACATAGGCTGGAGTCACACAGTGCTACTGTGACTGGAAGTGAATTGTCATTGACGCAAGGTTGTACACTAACTTCTCACATTAGTTATCAATACTTTATCAAAATCTTTCTCGAAAGCTTCTGTTAGGGTCATTCAAGCAAAGTCACTACCACAGAACTTCCCTTGTGTCATATTCTAAGATATTTCAGCCTGTAACTATTGTATTGTCTGTGTTATAGACATCCTGAAACCTTGTCACAGTAAACCCACTGGAGAGATATCTTACAGTGTGGTAGAGATAATGCGTATAGTTCCTGTACTGTATACAGTTCCTACTTCCTGTTCTAGACTTACAAGGTGGTAGTGGTGGGTGGTTGTGATATCTCTGTGGTATCTTTTGTAGATCTCAGGAGAGGCCCTGAACAACATCCGCACCATCGCGGGGCTGGGGAAGGAACAGAGCTTTGTGGAGATGTACGAGGCTCATCTGGAGGCTCCGTACCAGGCCGCCAAGCAGAAGGCCAACGTGTACGGCGCCTGCTACGGCTTCGCCCAGTGTGTCGTTTTCATGGCCAACAGCGCCTCCTACAGGTTTGGAGGGTACCTGGTGCGCCAGGAGGGCCTCCACTTCAGCCTGGTCTTCAGGTGAGAGAAACTGTATGCCTGCCTGTCCGTCTGCCTGTCTGCCTGCATACCTGTCAACAACATAAACAGACCATGAAATCACATTGTCCATGTATTCCATTACCTTGACTAAACCCCATTGTCTCTCTGTGATTGGTTCAGAGTGATCTCAGCCATAGTGACCAGTGGCACAGCGCTGGGCCGAGCCTCTTCCTACACCCCAGACTACGCCAAGGCCAAGATCTCAGCTGCCCGCTTCTTCCAGCTCCTCGACCGCGTGCCAAAGATCAGCGTCTACAGCAACGAGGGGGACAAATGGGTAAACGTCACACACAAACACACGCACGCACTCACTCTCTCTCTCGCTCACGCCCCCTCTCTCTCTCGTCCAGCCTGATTTCAGAGGGAACTTAGAGTTCATTGACTGTAAGTTCACATACCCGACCCGGCCAGACATCCAGGTGCTGAACGGCCTCAACGTGTCGGTGAAGCCCGGCCAGACGCTGGCCTTCGTGGGCAGCAGCGGCTGTGGGAAGAGCACCAGCGTCCAGTTACTGGAGAGGTTCTATGACCCCGACCAGGGCAAAGTGGTGAGTCCTCAGTTTCTCTCAGCAGCACGTCATATCCCCATTTGTGTCTCTAGAGGTATAGAGACTATAAGATGATGGGGTATCCTGGGAGCTGGATTAGTTCACAGGATAGTTGACTGGATTTTCCACGTTGCATTGCAGATTATTGATGGCCATGACTCGACTCAGGTCAACGTCTCGTACCTGCGCTCCAAGATCGGCATTGTATCCCAGGAGCCCATTCTGTTTGACTGCAGCATCGGAGACAACATCAAGTACGGAGACAACCTGCGCGAAGTCAGCATGAATGACATCATCTCCGCATCCAAGAAAGCCCAACTCCATGACTTTGTCATGACGCTACCTGAGGTAATGCTGCTGTCAGTGTACTAACTTAAAACAACACTGTCAGTGTACAAACTTAAAACAAGACTTAAAACAACCCTGTCAGTCTACTAACGTAAAACAACACTGTCAGTGTACTAACTTAAAACAACACTGTCAGTCTACTAACTTAAAACAACACTGTCAGTGTACTAACTTAAAACAACACTGTCAGTGTACTAACTTAAAACAATACTGTCAGTGTACTAACTTAAAACGACACAAAATTCCACTGAGTGTAGCACATTATGAAAAACGCTACGTGTAGTATTCATAAATCAGTTTTCGGCCAGTACTTTAACATCGTTGTTTCTATCAAAGATACCTGCACACTAGACCAAAACAACACTGTCAATTCACAAACACACTCTCACAACACAACCTGTCAACTAACTTGCATCTATAGTCTCTTTTAGACACCCGTAGTCTTAATTAAACTTCTTCTAGAAAACACACCAAGTTCCCACTCACAACCCTCGAGGACACAAAACACACGCATTCAGGGCTTATGAACCCAAGATCTCTATTAGACAGGCAACTTAACACACTGCGACAACGAAGCAAAGGTAATGTCTCATGACAACCGTCCTGTCATCACACAAAGAAGACGTCTGACAGACAAACAGATTTAATTATAACACATTCTGTCCATTTACAAAACATTAGTGAGCAATGGCAAGCATGCAATTGCCTGAACTAGGCCATGTAGAGCAGAGGTCAGTTAATCAATAATCAATGGTCAGGGTGACTTGAAACCAAATGTCAGTGGCTCTAGCGTTACCGCGCAGTGTTATTACAGACAGTCAAGAGGCTGGATAAACAGAGAGGAGGACGAACTGTCGTATACTTAACCTGTCTCACAACTCAGAAACTCAACATGTCAATGTACTATTATACCAGCTTCGTCACTAAAACACGGACACATACAAAGCTCATGCCCTCAAGCTATTACAACTGTCACACCGGGCAAATCAGCTAACATTCGATCATGGTTATAGGCAGCCAGTTAAATCGTTGTTCAAGGTCTCACACAGTCATCATGTAGTTTTTTGCCAAAACGTCACAAACTCTGTGGTTATAGGCTGCACGATATCCTGTGTTCATCGTGTTTTAAATTTAAACCAGAAATACGACACAACGTGGGTTTAATTTATACAGATCTCGCCCATTTCAAAATAGACTTGCCTGGCGAGAGCAAAGGTAATGTCATCAATGTTGCCGAGCCGTAACATGACAATGATAGATTTAATTTATACCGATCGTCCATTTCAAATAGAATTAGTGCGAGGCAAGCATGCAATTTGCCTGAGCCGTAGGTCCATTGTATGAGGCAGAGGCATTAATCAAGTAATCATGGTGAGTCATGGGTGATTGTGAAATCCGCTCAAAGGTTTGTGTGTGTGTGCGTGTGCGCGCGCATGTGTGTGTGTTACAGACGGTGCAAGAGGCGCTGGATAAAGCGAGGGAGGGCCGAACCTGCATCGTCATCGCTCACCGTCTCTCCACCATCCAGAACTCTGACATAATCGCTGTTATGTCCAGGGGCTTCGTCATCGAACAGGGACCACATGACAAGCTCATGGCCCTCAAAGGGGCCTATTACAAACTTGTCACCACCGGTGCACCAATCAGCTAACTCATCAGGGTTATAGGAGCCAAACCAGGAAATGCCTGTTCAGGTCATCACACCAGGTCATGTAGTATTTATTCTGCAGAAGCGTCACACACTCTTTGGTTTTAATTGGTGGAGATATCATGCTGTGTATTCATTTGTTGTTGTTACATTTAAACAGAACTATGACTGGTATGCATTCATTACATGTATATACTGGGGCGTACTAAAGGAACGATTAGTTAAATTACTTTGTTGAGTACATGTATTCAAGGTGGGCTTTCAGGTGTTCAGTAATTATGTCCTATTAATTGTCTTACGTTGACACAGGTCAGTGTTAAGTCTGAGACATACTGTAGGTCTGAGTGGCTATCTTTGATCTTTTACTTGTTTATTTTTTTTAGTAATTAACTGTATTGCATAAGATTAAATTGAATGCTAATATCTACATTGAGGGTATAAAGTAACTGTTTACGATTGTCTACCGTTTGGACTGTGTTTTCCATTATACATTTATGACTTTAAATGTTTTGGATTTGAAATTGAACCTTTTTTGTAATGTATTCCTCAGATGTTTATTCTTTCAAACAAATATGGTGCATTTAAATTGCCTGCAGACGATAATCCATTCTAGAATAGTTGATTTTCCTTCGTTAAAGGTTACCATAACAGACTCATTGAAGAGCCTGTGGCAGACTAGTACTACAGTATTCCCTTCACCAGGTCTTGTTGATGCTTCCAGGACTGACACTGTGACACCCTGACCTGAGACCAGGACGAGATTTGCTGCATCCATCCATCAGCGGTAATGTGTGATCACACAACTCTGACCTTATTGGATGCATCCCAGATTCTCAGCACCCAGACAGGGGTGAATTAGTATGCCGGTGAAGCAATATAATCTCCCGGCTCTCTGCTCACAATCCGTCTGCTTAGAGGACACTATTTGACTTTGTGCCATGTAGAGTCAATACAATATTGATTGATACCGGTGCGCCTTAGACAGGTGCTGGAATCAAGTGTGGTGGTGAGTGTCGAGATTTTCATCTCTACGTATATAATGCTCCAACTATACCTTATTGTCTCCTCTAACGTACAGGATATGTACTCTCACGTCATATACTGTCTCTGTCCTGCTGTCCTAGACTGTCTGTACTATGTCCTACTGTATCATACTAGCCTATTATTATCCCTCGCTTAAGCTGCTCACATCTATACTCATCGCTATAGTCCTATATCCTAGCCTATACTGGCCTAAGATTCTAAGTCCTATACTGTCTCTGCCTACTAGTCCATATTTATGTCTACGTCCCTACTAGTCCTAATCTCCACTAGTCTTATGTCTCTACTAGTCCATATTACTAGTCTATCTGTCTCGCTACTAGTCTCTATTATATGTCTCTATATGTCCTGTACCCTACTAGTCCTATACTGTCTCTTCCTACTAGTCCTATACTGTCTCTGTCCTACTAGTCCTATACTGTCTCTGTCCTACTAGTCCTATTCTCTCACTAGTCCTATATGTCTCCTACTAGTCCTATATGTCTCTTCCTACTAGTCCTATACTGTTCTGTCCTACTAGTCCTAGTCTCTTCATACTTTATGTCTCTGTCCCTACTAGTCCTATACTGTCTCTGTCCTACTAGTCCTATACTGTCTCTGCTCTACTAGTCCTATATCTTTAGTCTAACTCTCCTACTAGTCCTATACTGTCTCTGTCCTACTAGTCCTATACTGTCTCTGTCCTCTAGCTATGTCCTATTATACTGTCTCCTACTAGTCCTATATTCTCTTCCTACTAGTCCTATACTGTTCTCCTACTAGTCCTATACTGTCTCCTGTCCTAACTAGTCCTATACTGTCTCTGTCCTACTAGTCCTATACTGTCTCTGTCCTACTAGTCCTATACTGTCCTCTGTCCTACTAGTCCTATACTGTCTCTGTCCTACTAGTCCTATACTGTCTCTCACTACTAGTCCTATACTGTCTATTTCCTACTAGTCCTATACTTCGTCTCCTACTAGTCCTAACTGTCTCTGTCCTACTAGTCCTATACTGTCTCGTCCTACTAGTCCTATACTGTCTCTGTCCTACTAGTCCTATACTGTCTCTGTCCTACTAGTCCTATTACTGTCTGTCCTACTAGTCCTATACTGTCTCTCTCTAGTCCTATACTGTCTTCCTACTAGTCCTATCTGTCTCTCTATGTCCTACTGTCCTCCTACTATGTTCTGTCTGTCCTACTAGTCCTATCTGTCTCTGTCCTACTAGTCCTATACTGTCTCTGTCCTACTAGTCCTATACTGTCTCTGCTACTAGTCCTATCTGTCTCTGTCCTACTAGTCCTATACTGTCTCTGTCCTACTGTCCATATTACTTCTGTCCTACTAGTCCTACTACTGTCTTCCTACTAGTTGTCCTAGTCTACTGTCCTCTATAGTCCTATACTGTCTCTGTCCTACTAGTCCATATACTACGTCTCTGTCTCTACTAGTCCTATACTGTCTCTGTCCTACTAGTCCTATACTGTCTCTGTCCTACTAGTCCTATTCTGTCTCTGTCCTACTAGTCCTATATTGTCTCTCCTATTCTTCTCTCCATCTGCCTCAGCCTCCACCCCGGTGAAAAGTCAAGCCTCAGAAGATTTAACACACTTACCATGTCATTACTAACTACTGGGTGGCAGGTAGTCTAGCGGTTAAAGCGCTGGGCCAATAACCAGACCTAGTTTGAATCAAGGTGAAAAATCTGTTGACGTGCCCCTTGAGCAAGGCACTCAACCCTAATTGCTCCAGGGTCGCCGTTGATAATGGCAGACCCTGTCTCAGGGAGAGTGGGATATGCAAAAAAACGCATTTCCAATTCACACATGCATGTTTGGACATGTGTGAAATAGGAGAAATATAAGCACACACCACATTATTATTATTACCTACTTGGGGTTTGAACAGTAAATGGGTTTGTATTGAACAGCGACAGTGAATGCAATTTAGAGACCACTGTATTTCAAATGCTCCATCAACCATCGGTGACACAAAGGGCCTCAATGTGAAAGAGCAGAGGGACTCTGAGAATGAGGAACGGGGGTCCAACTAATTCAAAGACCATAGGTAGGCCTGCTCCCAAATGGCTCTGTCAGAGATTGAAGTTGCATTGGGATTGAATTAGATTAAGACCATGTCCATGGTTGGAATTGGTTGGAGATCGAAATTTGATTCACTTGGGAGAGCATTACATTAAACTTTAGTGGTAAACTCAGTGGCATTAGTTGACCACTTGGTGGCACTGTATCCTATTCTCGTCATAAGTATTATAGTGCACTGAAGTGGTAATGCAGTAGCAGAGCATAGATAATGATTAGAAGCACAGTAGAACATGTGCCGTATGCAGGATGGAGTACTGAACTGAGTTAAGATACCCTGCTGAGTTCTACCTGTCGTGTCTTCATGTAACTGAACCTACAACATGATAGTAGCCTATTTTACCAAGTAATAAATGGGTCGTTCCACCAATAGAGTGCCTTTTGGGTAGTGTAATTTGTTAAAGAAAATAAAACTACTTGTTTCAGCTAATGTCAACATTCTGTTATAAAGAGTATATGTTCAACTTCATTAAAAACACATATTTTCCCATTTCAAGAGGTTAAATTCTGAAAAATGACTATAGTGAAACAAATCACCTGCTTTGACAGTATGATTTGACTATTCGACGTTCAATCTTTCTTTTGAAAAAAATATTTAAAAAGGAATAGTTTCACCATTGTAAAAGGAGAGTTCACTTCACATAACAGGGTTGACCTTAAAATGAGAGACAAACGTAATTCACGTTAAATAAATTATAATCTTCAGAAATTACTTTGTCAAAGCAAGAAAGTAACTAGGGCTTTACAAAAAAAATTTTTTTAATAAATAATAATAATAATTGGGCTTTACAATGAGGTGAAAACTTGGGGAAATATTTGGGTTAAGTGGATTAAAACTTCCCTAAATCAGATGTATTGAATTTTTCATGTGGTCTATATTAAAGGGCACTTCATTTAATATAACAGGCTTTTAAAATTCAATATTGGTGCACAATTTCTACTTAAAATATCAAAATGCAATATTCGTGGAACGACCCAAATGCTGTGGACTATGCAATGAGCATGGAGTGGCTAGTTGTTTGTATAACATGATGTACACTGCAATAACCAGTGACATCTGTTAAAATAACTGTTTATACCTTGTGCTAATGTGTCCTTTGTCCGGATCTTGTCTACATTCTGGTCGTGCCCACATTTCCAGAAATGTGAATACACATGGTATTAAAACGTATCTCTTATCCGTCCACTGTGTCTGCATTGTGACCAGATTTTCTGGTCCCTTCCTTTATGCAAATTATTTCACAGATATTCTTTCAAAATAATATGTATTTATTTTTTGTAAGACACATATTGATGTAATCAGTCAATGGTGCCACCTGTCAATTAATTTAGATGGGGGAATAATGATGGTTTAAATGGTTTCACTGTCCAGATCCGTTTACACTTGTAAGATATCCAGTCACAATGCGTGTCTGACTACCTCTGGCGGTGGCCAGGAAGATCTGATCACGATATGATCATAATGTGTCTTTTAATTGTCTCCAAATGTGGGCACAATCAGAATGTGGACAAGACCAGGACAAAGGACGCAAGTTAGAACCAGGTATAAACAGGGCTTTAGATGGCCCTCACGATCCAGATTTATCCAGATTTATCAGTTCACCTTATAGTATAACCCTATAAATAGTATGCCATATTCATGATATTAATAATAAATATGTACATTTCACGTCACTATCCTGGTTGCGGTCCAAGTTACTTATAGTATTATAAGTCGCATATTTTTTAATCACTCCAACTGAGTTATTGAAGTGGTGGCTGTGCATTTGCTTGACACTTAGTTGAAAGGAGGCACTGTAAAGTGATGAGGAATTAACCTAACCGGTGACTCCGGATCAAGATGAGGTTAGGTTAGGAAACGTAGGGTTCATCTGACTTCTCAGAAAGGCTGTTTTGTAAGTGATTGTGAAAGACTGTGCGTGATGTGATTTTGAACGTTGGACAGAGTTCATCCGTTTTGTTTGTCTACTGTCTCACTGGTGGCTATAAAGGGGCAGTGTGCAGTGGTACAACGCACTGTGAGTCTACAATCACAGGGAGAAGGTACAGTAAAACATTGCTGTTGAGTGTGTGTGTGTGTGTGTGTGTGGTTTGGGGGGGAAGTAAGGGGACGTGGATAAGCCTTTGAGTGTATCGATATCATGTTTTCTACCGTTGCTCTCATCTCTAGAATGAAGTCCCTCCTGCTCCTTCTACTGGTGGCTGTTACTGTCTCATCTGTGGTGTCTAAACCCCTTCCGGAAGACTCTGAAGCAGAGGTGCACAAGGAGTTTGAGACATGGAAAGTTAAATATGGTAAAACTGATTCAGTACTAATATTTCACCAATGGATATTTACACTGAGTGTACAAAACATTAAGAATGCCTTCTCTTTCCATGACATAGACTGACCAGGTGAGTCCAGGTAAAAGCTATGATCCCTTATTGAACCATTCATTGTTAAATCCACTTCAATCAGTGTAGATGAAGGGGAGGAGACAGGTTAAAGAAGGATTTTTAGGCCTTGAGACAATTGAGACATGGATTCTGTATGTGTGCCATTCAGAGGGTGAATGGGCAAGACAAAAGATTGAAGTGCCTTTGAACGGGGTATGGTAGTAGGTGCCAGGCGCACCGGTTTGTGTCAAGAACTGCAACACTGCTGGATTTTTCACGCTCAACAGTTTCCCATATGTATCAAGAATGTTCCACCACCCAAAGGACATCCAGCCAACTTGACAACTGTTGGAAGCATTGAAGTCAACATGGGCCAGCATCCCCGTGGAATGCTTTCGACACCTTATAGAGTCCATGCCCCAACGAATTGAGGCTGTTCTGAGGGCAAAAGGGGGGGTGCAACTCAATATTAGGAAGGTGTTCCTAATGTTTGGTATACTTTGTGTATAACTGTATTGACAATGAATGAGTTGTCAACATTTTAACACAGAAAGCTAAATTTAGAGTACATTTGCAGGGAAGAGCTATCCGTCTACAGAGGAGGAAGCCAAACGTAAGGAGATGTGGTTAGCAACGAGGAAGAGGGTGATGGAACACAACATGAGAGCAGGAAATGGATTAGAGAGCTACACCATGGCGGTCAATCACTTTGCTGACTTGGTATGGTTCAATATTTACTGGTAAATTATTAACTTTAAATGTAGTTAGTTTAGAAACTCTAGCTCAGCCAGTGGCTTTACAATAACATTCAAAATCAGGTTTAGGCATATATTTTTAGTTTTAAATTATTTATATCTATTGTAGTTTGTTACTAATATGATATTTTCTTAGCAGCCCCTGTTGAGTCTCTGTGTCTTTGCTTCCTCTCACAGACTACTGAGGAGGTTCCTAAAGGACTTTTGCCCATGGTAAGGTGCCACAGTCAATACAATGCATTGCCCTATATGGTTAATAATAATAATTGTATGATGAAGAACTCTGTCTTGTGTCTCAGCCTCGACCTGAGGAAGAAGAGGTGGACAAAGAGTTTGAGATGTGGAAAACTCACCATGGTAAAACTGGTTCAATACTAACTGAATTCACAGGAGGTTGGTGGCACCTTAATTGGGGAGGACAGGCTCGTCGGTAATGACTGGAGCGGATTATGTGAAATGGTAATAAATACATCAACACATGGTTTCCATGGTTTCCGTGGTTTCCAGGTGTTTGATGCCATTCCATTTATTATGAGCCGTCCTCCCCTCAGCAGCCTCCTGTGACTGAATGAGGCTTTATTTTAAGGCAGTGGCCGTGTCTGAATACCCATAATAGCGTACTACATACTTAAACTGCATACTCATTTCAGCGTTTGATCTAGTAGAATTCACTCGTCTTTTCTGACTCACGTATTTGACAACAGCTGATAAACAGATAAATTGACGCGCTGTACCAAAATGAACGAATGGCGGGAGTCGACGCAATTGGGCATTAGGTGACATATTCAGAGTACTATTTTTCTAAATGTCACATACTATAAAACAGTCTTTTTTCGCATACTATTTAGTACGCTAGTATGGTTATTTGGACACAACCACTCTTTCCACTGGTAGTAGCATGGTGACCCCTAAATAATTAAAGGAAATAAGCTTTTAAAATGAAGTGTGGTGTTATCCAAGTATTGGTGAATGCAGGTGCTAATATTTACTAAATGGACATGTTTGTAGGTAAGACGTATAACTCCACCAAGGAGGAAGCTAAGCGTAAGGAGATCTGGCTAGCTACTAGGAGAAGAGTGATGGAACACAACAAGAGAGCAGAGAATGGCTCAGAGAGCTTCACCACAGGGATGAATTACTTCTCTGACATGGTAAGGTGGTGCCATTATTTATTGTCAAATAATTATCAAATTAATCAGAATTAATTAAAGTCTGTTGAATATTCTGCTACAAACAGCTTGTCTAATATTTTATAGTCTCATTTTTGAGTCTCTGTCTTTTTTACACCCCAGACTTTTGAGGAGGTTCCTAGAGGAGGCCTTATGGTTGTGTCTAAGCCTCGAGATGGAGAGGAGGAAGCAGAGGTGGATAAAGAGTTTGAAACGTGGAAGGTTCAACACGGTAAAACTGGTTCAGTACTCACTGAAAGAAACAAAACTAGTCACCAGTGGTAGTTGACTAAAACAGTATGAACAATACAGACGTTATGTCTCAATGTTATCTGAACATTTGCAGGGAAGAGCTATGGTTCCACCGAGGAGGAAGCCAAGCGTAAGGAGATCTGGCTAGCTACTAGGACAAGAGTGATGGAACACAACAAGAAAGCAGAGAATGACACAAAGAGCTTCACCATGGGGATGAATTACTTCTCTGACATGGTATGATGTAGCCTGGTCAGTGGGCGCTATGGATCTCCACTATTGTCTGGGCTTGATGTGCCCAACGACTGGTCCGTACATAAAACATTCAAAGGCTTCGATTTCCTCCTTATCTCGATTTAAATGCGAGAAGGCAAAACATTTTGGGGAAAATATGAGTACTTTCTTTATGAAACACCATTTTCCACCACCATGCTAGTGGCTAATGTTACGTCCTGATTACGTCCTGATGTTGCACCCCGCGTTCATCCAGGGGTAAACAACGGACTGTTGCAACCTGATTGGGTGAACACGATACGCAACATCCGGGACTAGCATTCCTAGGCATTAACCACTAGCATGGTGGTGGAAAATGGTGTTTCATAAAGAAAGTACGTATATTTCCCCCCAGGAGGAAATCGAAGCATTTACAGCCTGAATTGAGCATGTTTTATGTACGAACCGGTCGCCGGGAGACACGAGTATATTACCGTCTGGGCACATCCAATCCAGACGATAGTGGAGATCCATCGTGCCCACTAGCATTATGGATCTCCAGCTAATATTTACTGTCAACTTATTCTCAAATTAGACAGAAAAAAGGCAGTTCAGTTCAGCTAAAGTGAACAGTTTGCTGTCTTATTTTGGACAGAATCACGTTATTGGAAACATGCTGTTCTGAGGGCAGACCTGGTTGTGGCTAGATACACTACATGGTCAAAAGTATGTGGACACCCCGTCAAATGAGTGGATTCGACTATTTTAGCTACACCTGTTGCTGACATGTGTATATAATCGAGCACACAGCCATGCAATCTCCATAGACAAACATTGGCAGTAGAATGGCTGAAGAGCTCTGTGACTTTCAACATGGCACCGTCATAGGATGATACCTTTCCAACAAGTCATTTCGTAACATTTCTACCCTGCTAGAGCTGCCCCGGTCAACTGTAAGTGCTGTTATTGTAAAGTGAAAACAACAACGGCTCAGCCCGGAAGTGATAGGCCACACAAGCTCACAGAATGGGACTGCCGAGTGCTGAAGCACCGAGCGTGTAAAAATCGTCTGTCCTCGATTGCAACACACACTACCAAGTTCCAAACTGCCTCTGGAAGCAACGTCAGTCAGAACTATTCATCGGGAGCTTCATGAAATGGGTTTCCATGGCCGAGCAGCTGCACACAAGCCTAAGATCACCATGTGCAATGCCAAGCGTCGATTGGAGTGGTGTAAAGCTCACCGCCATTGGACTCTGGAGCAGTGGAAACGTGTTCTCTGGAGTGATGAATCACACTTCACCATCTAGCAGTCCGATGGACTAATCTGGGTTTGGTGGATGCCACGAGAACGCTACCTGCCCCAATGCATAGTGCCAACTGTAAAGTTTGGTGGAGGAGGAATAATGGTCTGGGGCTGTTTTTCATGGTTTGGGCTAGGCCCCTTAGTGAAGGGAAATCTTAACACTACAGCATACAATGACATTCTAGACGATTCTGTGCTTCCAACTTTGTGGCAACAATTTGGGGAAGACCTTTTCCTGTTTCAGCATGACAATGCCCCCGTGTGGAAGAACTTGACTGGCTTGCACACAGCCCTGACCTTAACCCCATTGAACACCTTTGGGATTAATTGGAACGCCGACTGCGAGCCAGGCCTAATCGCCCAACATCAGTGCCCGACCACACTGATGCTCTTGTGGCTAAATGGAAGCAAGTCCCACAGGCAATGTTCCAACATCTATTGGAAAGCCTTCCCAGAAGAGTGAAGGATGTTATAGCAGCTAAGTGGGGTACAACTCCATATTAATGCCATGATTTTGGAATGAGATGTTCGACGAGCAGGTGTCCACATACTTTTGGTGTATGTTCGAGTCGCGTCAGGGACAATTTTAACGTTTTAGCTAACCCTAACCCTTTTCCTAACCTTAATCTAATTATCCTAACCTGCTACTTTAATTATCCTAACCTGTTGTGAAAGTTTTCCTAAACTGTTATGGAAAGTCGTTTCCGCTTTAATGTAACTTCTGCTTATTTTTGAGTCTGTCTTTTTTTGTGTTTTTTTTCAGGCTACTGAGGAGGTTCCTAAAGGTCTTTTTTCCATGGTTTTGTTTTCTCCAGCTGGAGAGGATGAATCCGAGCTGGACAAAGAGTTTGAGGCGTGGAAAATTAAACATGGTAAAAGTGGTTCAACACTGAAAAAGACCAAAATGATATTTTCTCAGATGACATACAGAGCCATTTAAAGAGTCACCAGTGGGGGTTAAACCAGTACTACCAATGTAGACGCTGTCTGAATGTTACCTGAAAATTTGCAGGGAAGAGCTACGAGTCCCCCGAAGAGGAAGCCAAGCGTAGGGAGATCTGGTTAGCTACTAGGACGAGAGTGATGGAACACAACAAACGGGCAGAGACTGGCTTGGAGAGCTACACCATGGGGATGAATCATCTTTCTGACAGGGTATGATCACTGTCAGGAAGAGGCCTACTATACAAAAACGTTTAACTTGGGGGTTGCTTTTTGGATACTAATGATATGTTTCTTATACTTACTTGATACTATGCATGTTGCTTCCTTTCACAGACTACTGAGGAGGTTACAGGACGCAGGGTAGGGTGACGCACTTATTGCTATGCACTGCACTTATAAGGTTCATGAACATATGAATCAATCATTTGTGGTGGTAATTGTATGATCAAGAACTCTTATTCCTCAGCCTCAAGATGGGGAGGAAGCCGAGGTGCACAAGGAGTTTGAAACATGGAAAGTTCAATATGGTAAAACTGATTCAACACTAACTGAAATAGATATTTCCTGTATACATTAAGTCAAACTCATTAAACAAGTTGACTTTTTTCATGCTTGCAGGAAAGACCTATCCGTCCACCGAGGAGGAAGCTAAGCGCAAGGAGATTTGGCTAGCTACTAGGAAGATTGTGATGGAACACAACAAGAGAGCAGAGAATGGCCTGGAGAGCTACACCTTGGCAGTCAATCACTTTGCTGACTTGGTATGGTGTTATTATTAATTGTGAAATTCAGATTAGTCTGAAAGAAATCAGGGTTGTTATTTCTAGTTATATATTACTATGTTGATATACGTTATAAGTTGATATAAGATTTGTCAAACAAGTCTAAAGTTGTTTGTCGTCTTTTTACTTCCAGACTAATGACGAAGTTCCTAGAGGACTTCTTCCCATGGTAAGGTACCAGCGTTTCAAGATTTAATGTGTTCAATGCTACAATGTAATTTAACTGAAAATACAGCACCAGTCAAAAGTTTGGACACACCTACTCATTCAAGGGGTTTTCTTTATTTGTACTATTTTCTACATTGTAGAATAATAGTGAAGACATTAAAACAATGAAATAACACATATGGAATCATGTAGTAACCAAAAAAGTGTTAAACAAATCAAAATATATTTTATATTTGAGATTCTTCAAAGTAGCCACCCTTTGCCTTGATGCCGGCTTTGCACACTCTTGGCATTCTCTCAACCAGCTTCATCTGGAATATTTTTCCAATTGTGGAGGACAGGTCATCTGATGCAGCACTCCATCTGTAAGGGTTGGTGTGAGGTGTGTAGGATAGACAGTAGACAGTAGGCAAGGATGGTGAAACAAGGATCTTTACTGGTGGTCCAAAAGCCAGGTTACAAAACAACGGACTATACACGAAAACAAATGAGGAGCACATAGGTCTCCAAAAAACAGTCTGACAACAAACAATACGAAATACTAACTCTGACTGGAAAAACACAATGACACAGGGAGAACACTTCTCGAGTACCTGTAACTCCGTCACGTGATCCGACACTGATACGTCCTGCTTGACATCAAGGAACTAGCAGAGAAAACTGAGCAAGGGAACACAGGGAAGTGAGGGCATAAATACACAGGTGAATCAGATAGCCACAGGTGACACCAATAGGCAGATAATTAGTCCCGACTGTGCTTGAGGAGGTGCCTATGGTTGTCGGAGGATGACACGTAGTGGGTCGCTCCGGAACTGCGACCCACTCCTGTAACATCCATCACTCTCCTTCTTGGTCAAATAGCCCTTACACAGCCTGGAGGTGTGTTGGGTCATTGTCCTGTTGAAAAACAAATGATGGTCCCACTAAACGCAAACCTGATGGGATGGCGTATCGTTGCAGAATGGCGGGCGAAGATGAACTACGACGTCCGCAGACTTTGTTAGAGACAGGTTTGCACTTTCCACATACCTTGAGAAGTAGTCCACCACTAACAAGTAGGTGGTGCTTTTCAGAGTGAACAAGTCAGCTCCTAATCTTTGCCAGGGTCTCTCAGGAAGTTGTGATGGTGTGAGTGGTTCTGTGTGGTTTGTGCGCTCGTTGATGCATGTCCTGCAGTTAAGCACAAGTTTGTTCAGTTGCTGGCTGAGTCCAGGCCACCACACAGCCTGTTGTGCCCGTTCTCTGTACTTGACCACACCTTGATGACCCTCGTGCAGCTTAGAGAGGACATCATTTCGTAAGGCTGATGGAATGACAAGTTTTGTTCCTTTCAACAGAAGACCGTCGTGCACTGTGAGAAAAGCGCATTCTGCCCAGTACAGTTTCAGTGGTCCTTTGCATCCGCTGAACTCAGACCATCCTTCCTGACACATTGTCATGACTTTTGAGCACACACTGTCGGCTTTGAGCAATCGTGTAGGAGTATCTCATAAGTCTCATCCTGAAGCGTTGGATTCGTGGGGGAAGGGTGTCCAAGGGTTGGTTCCCCAGAAGGCTCAGGAGTGGTTTGTGATCAGTTTCAAGCTGAAAGTGTTGACCAATGAGAAAGTCTCTGAATCTGTCACATGCCCATGTCAGCCCGAAAGCTTCTTTTTCCACTTGAGCGTATCTCTGCTCTGTTGGTGTGAGAGACCGGGAAGCGTAGGCAACAGGTCTCCATTCCTCGCTCTTCTTCTGCAGCAGCACTCCTCCTAGTCCGTAGGAAGACGCATCGGCTGACACCTTAATCTCTTTGTTTGGGTCGTACAGGGCTAGCACGGGTGTGGATGTCAGCTCCTCCTTCAGCTCTTTGAAGGCTCTGACTTGGTCAGCCCCCCAGTACCAATGGTTTTTCTTTGAGAGTAGGTCTCTGAGAGGTTTGTCCTTTTCTGCTAACTGAGGGATGAACTTTTCCAGTTGGTTCACCATTCCTAGAAAACTCTGTAGCTCGCTGACGTTGGATGGCTCCGCCATTTCCTTGACAGCCTCCATCTTTGTCGGGTCAGGCTGTACTTCTTTGTCCAAGATAATGTGGCCCATGAACTTCACTTCCTCCTTCGACAGGTCACATTTGTCCATGTTCAGAGTTAAGCCGGCTTTTTCTATCTTCTGCAATGCGGCATGAAGTCTTGCATCATGCTCCTCCTGAGTTTGTCTCCAGACCAACACATCATCCATGTGACAGACCACACCTTCCAGGCCTTCAGTGACCTCTGTCACCATTCTGTTCTGGATGTGTTCAGGTGCTGAAGCGATGCCAAAAGGCAGACGGTTTAAGTAGTAACGTCTGAAAGGTGTGATGAAGGTTGTTAGCTTAACTGACTCCTCGGCTAGCGGGATCTGCCAGAAGGGATCTGCCCATGTCCGCGTTGAGCTTGCTGAAGATCTTTGCCCTGGCTAGTGAGCCAAGGGTCTGTTCGACAGTGGGAAGTATGTATTTTTCTCTACACACTGACTCATTGAGACTGGTGAAATCGACACATATCCGCACGTCCCCGTTCTTCTTTGGGACAACCACCATGCCGGCGCACCAGTCCATGTGGTCCTCCACTCTGGTGACAACCTTGAACCCTTGCATGTGCTCTAGCTCTTTCTTGACTTTTGGCAGTAATGTCAGAGGAATCCGTCGTGGAGTATGAAGTGAGTATGGTTGTTGTACTGTGCCAAGACCGCTGCACAGCTTTGGATAGCTTTCTTTCAGTGTCTGTAAATCAATGCTGTCGAGTCGAGCAACTAGCTCAAGCTTTGTGATAGCTGGTCTGCCTAGTAAAGATCTGTGTAGATCTCTGATGACATACACGTCCTCCAGTGTTTCCTTTTCTCCTTTTCGTAGAACCACACTTGCGATGCCGATCACGTCCAGCGGTGCTCTTCCTGGTCCTAGCAGAGGTTTAGTTGTTTTTTGCAGAGCTGGCTTGCTGGTTCCTGCAAAAATGTGATTGAACACATTGTCTGGGATAACAGTCACATTGGCACCAGTGTTTATTTTGAATTTCACATTTCTCTCCATCACATGAATGTCAATCATCCATGGGTCACCTCTTGCTGTTATTGTTCCTAGGAAAATGCTACCATCCTCTTCTTGAACCTCGTTTACGGTTCTTGACTTGGTATTTAACCAAATAGGGCTATCTTCTGTATACCGCCCCTACCTTGTCACAACACAACTGATTGGCTCAAACACATTAAGAAGGAAATAAATTCCACAATTTAACTTTTAACAAGGCACACCTGTTAATTGAAATGCATTCCAGGTGACTACCTCATGAAGCTTGTTGAGAGAATGCCAAGAGTGTGCAAAGCTGTCATCAAGGCAAAAGGTGGCTACTTTGAAGAATCTCAAATATCAAATATATTTTGATTTGTTTAACACGTTTTTGGTTACTACATGATTCCATATGTGTTTTTTCATAGTTTTGATGTCTTCACTATTATTCTACAATGTAGAAAATTGTAAAAATAAAGAAAAACCTTGGAATGAGTAGGTGTGTCCAAACCTTTGACTGGTAGTGTACAGTGATGAAAAGGTTGTGTTAACCTGTTTCTCTTTCCCATTCATCCTCCTGCCCCTGACCACTCATCTCATCACAGGGTATGCTTCCATTCACATTAGTCACTAACACTGCACTCACTACACTCTTTTTCACAAACCTTGACTACAATGACCATAGTCTTAAAAAAATATTAAGGAACCCTTCACATTTACTAATGTTACACTCCTAATTCACAAAACAATCAGATTGACTTCTACCCAACAGGATGGGACTCTACCCCAGGGGTTAACTATGTCGGTTTTTCATTTATTCACAAGTGTGTATTTTTTCTAGTTATGACTCCCAATCGGCTTGGCGTTCTCGTGCCAATTTATTTTGTATGTTTTCCTGTGGGGTTTGTGGGTTATTGTTCCGTGTTTCAGTCGTTGTACTGTGGACTTCACGAGTCGTCTTTTGTTTTGTATTTTACGTGCTTTACTCTTATTAAAGTCATGTTCGTTCAACGCGCTGCGCTTTGGTCTCCTTCACTCCTAGACGATCGTGACAGAATAACCCACCAAAGAAAGACCAAGCAGCGCGTCCAGGAGCAACAGGATCCACCTACACAGGATTTATATCCACCCATAAAGGATTCATGGACATGGGAGGAGATTCTGGATGGTAAGGGACCTTGGGCACAACCGGGAGAATATCGCCGTCCTCGGGAAGAGCTGGAGGCAGCTAAAGCCGAGAGGCGGCGATATGAGGAGGCAGCACGGAGGCAAGACTGGAAGCCTGTGGGTACTACCCAAGAATTTCTTGGGGGGGGGCTAAGTGGGAGTGTGGCGAAGTCAGGTAGGAGACCTGCGCCTACTCCCTGGACTGACCGTGGAGAGCGAGAGTACGGGCAGACACCGTGTTACGCAGTTGAGCGCATGGTGTCTCCTGTATGCAGGCATAGCCCGGTTCGGTACAGTCCAGCTCCACGTATCGGCCGGGCCAGATTGAGTGTTGAGCCGGATGTCATGAGGCCGGTCCCACGCAGCAGGTCACCAGTGCGTCTCCTCGGGCCGGCGTACATGGCACCAGCCTTACGCATGGTGTTCCCGGTTCGCCCACATAGGCCGGTGCGGGTTATTCCACCTCCCCGTACTGGTCGGGCGACGGGGAGCATCAACCCAGGTAAGGTTGGCAGGCTCAGTGCTCAAGGGAGCCAGTACGCCTGCACGGGCCGGTATTTCCGGCGCCACCTCCTCGCTCCAGCCCAGTACCACCAGTACCTACACCACGCACCAGGTTTCCTGTGCGTCTTCAGAGTCCTGTGCGTCCTGTTGTTTGCTTCCCGCACTAGCCCTGAGATGCGTGTCCTCAGCCCGGTACCTCCTGTTCCGGCACCACGCACCAGGCCTACGATGCGCCTCAGACGGCCAGAGTCGGCCGTCTGCCCAACGGGGCCTGAACTGTCCGTCTGCCCAACGCCGTCTGAACGGCCCGTCTGCCCAACGGCGCTGAACTGTCCGTCTGCCCAACGCCGTCTGAACTGCCCGTCTGCCCAACGGCGCCTGAACTGCCCGTCTGCCCAACGCCGTCTGAACTGTCCGTCTGCCCAACGCCGTCTGAACTGCCCGTCTGTACTGAGCCTGCAAAGCCGCCCGTCTGCCATGAGCCTTCAGAGCCGTCCGACAGACCGGAGCCGCTAGAGCTCTCCGCCAGACAGGATCAGCCAGAGCCTTCCGCCAGACCGGATCAGCCAGAGCCTTCCGCCAGACAGGATCAGCCAGAGCCTTCGGCCAGACAGGATCAGCCAGAGCCTTCGGCCAGACAGGATCAGCCAGAGCCTTCGGCCAGACAGGATCAGCCAGAGCCTTCCGCCAGACCGGATCAGCCAGAGCCTTCCGCCAGACCGGATCAGCCAGAGCCTTCGGCCAGACCGGATCAGCCAGATCCGTCGGCCAGACCGGATCAGCCAGATCCGTCAGCCAGCCATGAGCAGCCAGATCCGTCAGCCAGCCATGAGCAGCCAGATCCGTCAGCCAGCCATGAGCAGCCAGATCCTTCAGCCAGCCATGAGCCGTTCAGCCAGGATCCGCCAGAGCCGTCCAGCCAGGATCCGCCAGAGCCAACCAGCCAGGATCCGCCATTGAGTCAGGTGCTGCCCCTTAGTCCGGTGCTGCCCCTTAGTCCGGTGCTGCCCCTTAGTCCGGTGCTGCCCCTTAGTCCGGTGCTGCCCTTAGTCCGGTGCTGCCCCTTAGTCCGGTGCTGCCCCTTAGTCCGGTGCTGCCCTTAGTCCGGTGCTGCCTCTTAGTCCGGTGCTGCCCCTTAAACCGGTGGGGGTCATTTGGAGGAACCTACGTAAGCGGGTAGTGACTATGGTGGGGTGGTGGTCTAGGCCGGAGCCAGAACCGCCACCGAGGAGGTATGCCCGCCCAGCCCTCCCCTGTTTGGGGGTTTTGAGGCGCGGTCGCAGTCGCGCCTTTAGGGGGGGGTACTGTCACACCCTGGTTCTGGGACTCATTATGTTGAGCCAGGGTGTGTGCAGTCTATGTGGTTTTGTTCTATGTTGGGTGTCAAAGTGTTGTATTTCTAGGTTTGGTCAATGACTCCCATCGGAGGTAACGAGTGTCAGCTGTCGGCTCGTTATCTCTGATTGGGAGCCATATTTATTTCTGTATGTTTTCCTGTGGGGTTTGTGGGTTATTGTTCCGTGTTTCAGTCGTTGTCTGTGGACTTCACGAGTCGTCTTTTGTTTTGTATTTTACGTGCTTTACTCTTATTAAAGTCATGTTCGTTCAACGCGCTGCGCTTTGGTCTCCTTCACTCCTAGACGATCGTGACACAGATATTGATTGACTGTTTATTTCCTCCAACAGGATGAAAAAGACTGGACCCCATGAGGAATTAACTATTCCGTAATTTACAATAAATATAAACACTACACTTTAAATTCTTGTGTCCATTTTTTCCTTTATTTTATACCAGCCAATATGGCAGGGTTCCCCAACTGGCGTTCCGCGTGCCGAATTTGGCCCGTGGGTGGTTTTATTTGGCCCCCAAAGTAAAAAAAAAAAAAATATAATATTTATATCATTATTTACATTTGTTACGTTGCAGCCTTATGTCGCACACGCAGATAAATAAAAACTTAGTAATGTCTGCTCGACCAATTTACAACCAAATAATTGCAGCTTACCGCAAAATGGAAGAGGAAAGTGAAGGGGAGAAAGTAGGAACTTGTCTGCGCCTTGCATTAAGAACTTATGGTTAAAGAAAATTGTGATAATAAAAAGTATACATTTCTTAAGGACCAAGGATTGACAGCTCCCATATGATTGCAAATAGTTGGGAAGAGATTTTTGACGTACCGATTCCATGCCATAGTGTTTATGAACTGATACGCAAAACGACACCAGATTCAAAACTTAGAATTTTTCAATTTAAATTATTATATACAATTCTTGCTACCAATATAATGTTATTTATATGGGGGATACAATCTTCCCAGCTCTGCAGGTTTTGCAGCGAAGAGACAGAGTCATTAGATCATTTGTTTTGGTACTGTCCATTTGTAGCTTGTTTTTGGACACAGGTCCAGGAATAAAGGATTGCAATATTTACCTGGAGCTAACCCTGCAGATAGCACTACTAGGTGATCTGAAAAGTCATAGTCAATCGATCAATAATATAATAATACTTTTAGCAAAAATGTATATTTTCAATTTACAATCTGTAGAAACAATGAGAATAGAAAGGTTCAGAACTTTTGAAAAAACATCACAGTACAGTTGAAAAATATATGGCAAATAGAAATCCAATATGGATGGTGTTAAGAGATAGATGGGAGGTGTTGAATGGAGCTGAAGGATGGGACTAATAACAACTAACAACAACTAATAACAACAAGATGACTAATGTAAAGCATACTGTGTCCATAATAACTATATAGGTTATAGGTTGAGAGCTTTTGTGAAAGAGCACAGTTAGAAAAATATGGCATATAGAAGCAAACCAGATGGACATCATGAAAATGATCGGAGGAAGTTCAGGAGTAAAAACAAACAAAATATAATTATTGTAAAATTTGACTGTGTCCATAAAATGTATATAGTATGTATAAGCTGGAAGTAGAGGCCTAAGCATTGTTGTTCACTAGTTTACTCCAATTAGGGAAGGGGTGGTGGGATTGGAAAGTAATGAAGGGAAATATAATTTAAAAAAGGCATCAATGCTAGTGTAATGTACATGTGTTTGTAGCTAAATATCTAGTATATACTCATATTACTGTGTGTTGTGTGTAGTGTCATTAATATGTATTACTCATCTTATAATTTGGCGAGAAAAAACAACATATGGGGGATTGGAAGTGATGCAGACAATTACAATTGATGGAAGTTACAATCTATCTGCAATATTAAAGCTGATCTAACCCCCTAAAAAAAAAAAATCTATTATGTGCAAGAAACAGCTCAAATAAGCAAAGAGAAACGACAGTCCATCATTACTTTAAGACATGATGGTCTGTCAATCCAGAAAATGTCAATGTTTTGTGCAGTCGCAAAAACCATCAAGCACAATGATTAAACTGGCTCACATGAGGACCGCCACAGGAAAGGAAGACCCAGAGTTACGTCTGCTGCAGAGGATAAGTTCATTAAAGTTAACTGCACCTCAGATTGCAGCGCAAATAAATGCTTCACAGACTTCTAGTAACAGACACATCTCAACATCCACTGTTCAGAGGTGACTGTGTGAATCAGGCATTCATGGTCAAATTGCTGCAAAAAAACACTACTAAAGGACACCAATAAGAAGAAGAGACTTGCTTGGGCCAAGAAACACGAGCAATGGACAATAGACCGGTGGAAATCTGGCCTTTGGTCTGGTGAGTCCAAATGTGAGATTTTTGGTTCCAACTGCCGTGTCTTTGTGAGATGCAGAGTAGGTGAACGGATGATCTCTGCATGTGTGGTTCCCACCGTGAGGCATGTAGGAGGAGGTGTGATGGTGTGGGGGTGCTTTGCTGGTGACACTCTCTGTGATTTATTTAGAATTCAAGGCACACTTAACCAGCATGGCTACCACATCATTCTGCAACGATACGCCATTCCATCTGATTAGTGGGACTATCATTTGTTTTTCAACAGGACAATGACCCAACACACCTCCAGGCTGTGTAAGGGCTATTTGACCAAAAAGGAGAGTGATGGAGTGCTGCATCAGATGACCTGGCCTCCACAATCACCCGACCTCAACCCAATTGAGATGGTTTGGGATGAGTTGGACCACAGAGTGAAGGAAAAGCAGGCAACAAGTGCTCAGCATATGTGGGAACTTCAAGATTGTTGGAAAAGCATTCCAGGTGAAGCTGGTTGAGAGAATGCCAAGAGTGTGCAAAGCTGCCATCAAGGCAAAGGATGGCTACTTTGAAGAATCTTAAATATAAAATATATTTTGATTTGTTTAACACTTTTTTGGTTACTACATGATTCCATGTGTTATTTCATAGTTTTGATATCTTCACTATTATTCTACAATGTAGAAAATAGTAAAAATAAAGAAAACCCCTTGAATGAGTAGGTGTGTCCAAACTTTTGACTGGTACTGTACATATATATATATATATATATATACAATTATATATTATATATTATATTATATTATATTATAAATTATATATATATACACTAACGTTCAAAAGTTTGGGGTCACTTAGAAATGTCCTTGTTTTCGAAAGAAAATCAATTTTTTTGTCCATTAAAATAGCATTAAATTGATTAGAAATACAGTGTAGATATTGTTAATAATGTAAATGGCTATTGTAGCTGGAAACGGCTGATTTTTAATGGAATATCTACATAGGTGTACAGATGCCCATTATCAGCAACCATCAGTCCTGTGTTCCAATGGCACGTTGTGTTTGCTAATCCAAGTTTAAGATTTTAAAAGGCTAATTGATCATTAGAATACCCTTTTGCAATTATGTTAGCACAGCTGAAAACTGTTGTGCTGATTAAAGAAGCAATAAAATTGGCCTTTTTGAGACTAGTTGAGTATCTGGAGCATCAGCAATTGTGGGTTCGATTACAGGCTCAAAATGGCCAGAAACAAATAACTTTCTTCTGAAACGCGTCAGTCTATTCTTGTTCTGAGAAATGAAGGCTATTCCATGCGAGAAATTGCCAAGAAACTGAAGATCTCGTACAATTCTGTGTACTACTCCCTTTATAGAACAGCGCAAACTGGCTCTAACCAGAATAGAAAGAGGAGTTGGAGACCCCTGTACACAACTGAGCAAGAGGACAAATACATTAGAGTGTCTATTTTGAGAAACAGATGCCTCACAGGTCTTCAACTGGCAGCTTCATTAAATAGTACCCGCAAAACAGTTGAAGTCGGAAGTTTACATACACTTAGGTTGGAGTCATTAAAACTCGTTTTTCAACCACTCCAGAAAATTTATTGTTAACAAACTATAGTTTTGGCAAGTCAGTTAGGACATCTACTTTGTGCATGACACAAGTAATTTTTCCAACAATTGTTTACAGACAGATTATTTCACTTATAATTCACTGTATCACAATTCCAGTGGGTCAGCAGTTTACATACACTAAGTTGACTGTGCCTTTAAACAGCTTGGAAAATTCCAGAAAATGATGTCATGGCTTTAGAAGCTTCTGATAGGCTAATTTACATCAATGGAGTCAATTGGAGGTGTACCTGTGGATGTATTTCAAGGCCTACCTTCAAACGCGGTGCCTCTTTGCTTGACATCATGGGAAAATCAAAAGAAATCAGCCAACACCTCAGAAAAAGAATTGTAGACCTGCTTCATCCTTGGGAGCAATTTCCAAACGTCTGAAGGTACCACATTCATCTGTACAAACTATAGTACGCAAGTATAAACACCATGGGACCACGCAGCCGTTATACCGCACAGGAAGGAGATGAGTTCTGTCTCTTAGAGATGAACATACTTTGGTGCGAAAAGTGCAAATCAATCCCAGAACAACAGTAAAGGACCTTGTGAAGATGCTGGAGGAAACAGGTACAAAAGTATCAATATCCACAGTAAAACGAGTCCTATATCGACATAACCTGAAAGGCCGCTCAGCAAGGAAGAAGCCACTGCTCCAAAACCGACATAAAAAAGCCAGACTACGGTTTGCAACTGCACATGGGGACAAAGATCGTACTTGTTGGAGAAATTTCCTCTGGTCTGATGAAACAAAAATAGAACTGTCTGGCCATAATGACCATCGTTATGTTTGGAGGAAAAAGGGGGTTGCTTGCAAGCCGAAGAACACCATCCCAACCGTGAAGCACGGTGATGGCAGCATCATGCTGTGGGGGTGCTTTGCTGCAGGAGGGACTGGTGCACTTCACAAAATAGATGGCATCATGAGGAAGGAAAATTATGTGGATATATTGAAGCAACATCTCAAGACATCAGTCAGGAAGTTAAAGCTTGGTCGCAAATGGGTCTTCCAAATGGACAACGACCCCAAGCATACTTCCAAAGTTGTGGCAAAATGGCTTAAGGACAACAAAGTCAAGGTATTGGAGTGGCCATCACGAAGGCCTGACCTCAATCCTATAGAACATTTGTGGGCAGAATTGAAAAAGCGTGTGCGAGCAAGGAGGCCTACAAACCTGACTCAGTTACACCATCTCTGTCAGGAGGAATGGGCCAAAAATGTGTGGGAAGCTTGTGGAAGGCTTCCCGAAACGTTTGACCCAAGTTAAACAATTTAAAGGCAATTCTACCAAATACTAATTGAGTGTATGTAAACTTCTGACCCACTGGGAATGTGATGAAAGAAATAAAAGCTGAAATAAATCATTCTCTCTACTATTATTCTGACATTTCACATTCTTAAAATAAAGTGGTGATCTTAATTGACCTAATACAGGGAATTTTTACTAGGATTAAATGTCAGGAATTGTGAAGAACTGAGTTTAAATGTATTTGGCTAAGGTGTATGTAAACTTCCGACTTCAACGGTTTCACATCAAATCACATGCAGACATATCTTATATTTGTAAGACATCCTATTGACATGTAATCCCTAAAGCTAATGCAATATGCCCCAATCATGGAGATCCTTACTGCTTTGAACATTCAGTTGTCCAATAGTTAGAGGATAAAAACTTGATATCCACCGCTCACTAAAGACATGTCATCTTAGCACGTAAGTATAGGGCGGCAGGTAGTTTAGTGGGTAAGAGCGTTGTGCCTGTAACCGAAAGGTCGCTGGTTCTAAGCCACGAGCCGACTTAGTGAGAAATCAGTTGATGTGCCCTTAAGCAAGGCATTTAACCCTAATTGCTCCTGTAAGTCGCTCTGGATAAGAGCATCTACTAAAATGTAAATGTTAGCACACAATCAACTCTGACTCATTCTGAATCAACTCGGACTCATACTGCTCAGTGGACATTCATTCTTTCTGTTCTCTACGCCACAAGCCTGTCTGCATCTAAAAATCCTTTTACTAGGATTAAATGTCAGGAATTGTGAAAAACTGAGTTTAAATGTTTTTGGCTAAGGTGTATGTAAACTTCCGACTTCAACTGTATATATATATATATATATATATATATATATATATATATATATATATATATATATATATATGTGTGTATGTACTTTTTTTGGGGACATGAAAGACTGTACAAAAACCAGGAAATCAACTCCAAGTGATTTTATTTTTGGAAATCAGTTCCTAAGTATTCCCTATAGAGAGACACGTGGTCGTATACAAATGTAATCATTTATAATTATTATATTTTAGTCAAATATTATATCTGTTTGGGCTTCTTGCGGTCAATTTGCAATTTCCAAATTATTTGTAATCATGCTCCGGCCCCCCAACCATCTGTAAAGAAAAAATAGGACCATGGCTGAATCTAGTTGATGATCACTGCAATATGGAATGTGGGTGGGACCATACGTTGACTTGACCAATAGAAGGCAGAGTTTTCTCAGTCTGTTCAGAGCCATTGCATTATCAAATGTCACTCACACACAACCCAGTTTTCTTGTCCCCAAAACTGCACCAATAAACAAGAGTAGTGGATGCAACATTGCCATGTTTTTGTGTAGGTTATGGTAGGCTTCTGCTCAATTTGATTAGAAGACAGAGTGGCAACAGCCAAGAGAAGAGTGCCATTTAGGATCCAATGGGCTGTCGTAAAAAATTCTGAAAATTGATGTGTATGTGTTGACAGTGTGTGTGTGAGTGTGATGTTTACAGGCAGTAATTATATCGCAGGGCTTTTATGCATGTGTAATGACTGTGACACACACTGTCTCCATTCTTTGTCAATGTACCCTGAAAATGCAATGTTGTCTCTAGCATGCATTCGAGCTATAAAGAATGAAAAATATAGACTTTAGGATGGAGAGCTGCACATCCATTCTCAGTGGCTTCTATGGTCTTCCAATTAAGAGTGTCATTCTCAGAGTGAAGCCTACTAAAGTATATTACGATTACCTCTACATGCACATTACATTTTAGTCACTAAGCAGATACTCTTATCACACAGAGCGACAATACAAGCATTCAAATAAGCAGGCTGAAACAACCACACAACACAAGCATCCACCAATCACAGCATACGGTGCAATGAAATAAAGTACTACAGCAACACATAGCAACACATGTGTATATATATATCTATATGTATATGTATGTGTATGTATATATATATATATATATATATATATATATATATATATATATATATAGAGTGGGGAAAAAAAGTATTTAGTCAGCCACGAATTGTGCAAGTTCTCCCACTTAAAAAGATGAGAGAGGCCTGTAATTTTCATCATAGGTACACGTCAACTATGACAGACAAATTGAGAAAAAGAAATCCAGAAAGTCACATTGTAGGATTTTTAATGAATTTATTTGCAAATTATGGTGGAAAATAAGTATTTGGTCACCTACAAACAAGCAAGATTTCTGGCTCTCACAGACCTGTAACTTCTTCTTTAAGAGGCTCCTCTGTCCTCCACTCGTTACCTGTATTAATGGCACCTGTTTGAACTTGTTATCAGTATAAAAGACACCTGTCCACAACCTCAAACAGTCACACTCCAAACTCCACTATGGCCAAGACCAAAGAGCTGTCAAAGGACACCAGAAACAAAATTGTAGACCTGCACCAGGCTGGGAAGACTGACTCTGCAATAGGTAAGCAGCTTGGTTTGAAGAAATCAACTGTGGGAGCAATTATTAGGAAATGGAAGACATACAAGACCACTGATAATCTCCCTCGATCTGGGGCTCCACGCAAGATCTCACCCCGTGGGGTCAAAATGATCACAAGAACGGTGAGCAAAAATCCCAGAACCACACGGGGGGACTTAGTGAATGACCTGCAGAGAGCTGGGACCAAAGTAACAAAGCCTACCATCAGTAACACACTACGCCGCCAGGGACTCAAATCCTGCAGTGGCAGACGTGTCCCCCTGCTTAAGCCAGTACATGTCCAGGCCCGTCTGAAGTTTGCTAGAGTGCATTTGGATGATCCAGAAGATGATTGGGAGAATGTCATATGGTCAGATGAAACCAAAATATAACTTTTTGGTAAAAACTCAACTCGTCGTGTTTGGAGGACAAAGAATGCTGAGTTGCATCCAAAGAACACCATACCTACTGTGAAGCATGGGGGTGGAAACATCATGCTTTGGGGCTGTTTTTCTGCAAAGGGACCAGGACGACTGATCCGTGTAAAGGAAAGAATGAATGGGGCCATGTATCGTGAGATTTTGAGTGAAAACCTCCTTCCATCAGCAAGGGCATTGAAGAGGAAACGTGGCTGGGTCTTTCAGCATGACAATGATCCCAAACACACCGCCCGGGCAACGAAGGAGTGGCTTCGTAAGAAGCATTTCAAGGTCCTGGAGTGGCCTAGCCAGTCTCCAGATCTCAACCCCATAGAAAATCTTTGGAGGGAGTTGAAAGTCTGTGTTGCCCAGCGACAGCCCCAAAACATCACTGCTCTAGAGGAGATTTGCATGGAGGAATGGGCCAAAATACCAGCAACAGTGTGTGAAAACCTTGTGAAGACTTACAGAAAACGTTTGACCTGTGTCATTGCCAACAAAGGGTATATAACAAAGTATTGAGAAACTTTTGTTATTGACCAAATACTTATTTTCCACCATAATTTGCAAATAAATTCATAAAAAATCCTACTATGTGATTTTCTGGATTTCTTTTCCTCATTTTGTCTGTCATAGTTGACGTGTACCTATGATGAAAATTACAGGCCTCTCTCATCTTTTTAAGTGGGAGAACATGCACAATTGGTGGCTGACTAAATACTTTATTTCCCCACTGTATATATATATATAAAGAACATGGGGGATTGGAAGTGATGCAGACAATTACATTGATGGAAGTTACAATCTATCTGCAATATTAAGCTGATCTACCACCCCCCCCCCCAAAAAAAGAAAGCAAAACAACAACAACAAACAAACAAAACAAAAAAACACATAGTAACACAAAGGAGGAGCAATAAGATAAAGCAGAACACATGATAGGTCCAATGATTCCATTATCAGTTACAGAAGGGGCTCTTTCCTCCTTTGCTCTGAGCTTTCATTACAGTCCCCTCAGGTGTGACAGCCAGGCGTTGGGAACAGTGATCTGCCATGATTGGGTAAGTGTTTTGGAGTCAATACAACTCCAGGAGGGAGCCTTTCAGCTGACACTGATATAATTCAGCCCTGCGTGTGTTTGTGTGTGGTGTCAGCATGCAGGTGTGTGTGTGTGTGTCCTCCCCTGCGTGTGTTTATTTGTGTGTGTGTGTGTGTGTGTGTGCATGTTTGTGTGTGTCTCACCTTGCAGTGCCAGTCGAGGTACTGATTATTACTGCCATAAAGAACCTCAGTGTTATTCTCCCGTCGGCCATTATCTTATCCCAGATTATCTCCCCATCAGCCCACAGAAGCCATATCCCCCACAATCCCCCTGTGACAAGAGCCCACTGCCAATCACATTAATTACATTTTCCCATTATCTTCCCCAGTAGAGAAGCCGGGACGGGTAGCTTTCCCCAAATTAAATGGATTGGAAAGGAAAGGTTAGATGACTAACACCCAAAGTTATGTAATCACTGACCTTGTGTTTGTCCAAACTGGTCTTTCTGATATTGAACTTTTACTTTAGCTCTTCTAACATAAATCTAATCTAATCAAATCTAATTTTATTTGTCACAAGTGCCGAATACAACAGGTGTAGACTTTATAGAGTAATGCGTACTTACGAGACCTTTCCCAACAATGCAGTGTTAAAAATAGTTTTAAAATGTGCTAATAAAAATATAAAATAGTAACACAATAAACAACAATAATGAGGATATATAGAAGGAGTACCGGTACCGAGTCAATGTGCAGGGGTAGTTTTGGTCATATTTACATGTAGGTAGGGGAAAAGTGATAGATAATAAACAGAGTAGCAGCAGTGTATGTGGAGAGTGTGAAAGTGTGTGTTTTGTGTGTGTGAGCGTATGTAGTGTGTGTATGTGTGTGCTGGATTGTCAGTGTAAGCATGTGTGAGTGTGTGGGTAGAGTCCTGTGAGTGTGCATAGAATCAGTGTAAGAGAGTCAGTGCAAAAAAGGGTCAATACAATTGTCCGGGTAGCCATTTCATTAACTGTTCAGCAGTCTTATGGCTTGGGGGTAGAAGCTGTTCAGGAGCCTTTTGGTCCCAGACATGTTGCTCCGGTACCGTTTGCTGTGTGGTAGCAGAGAGAACAGTCTATGGCTTGGGTGGCTGGGGTCTTTCACAATTTTCCGGCCCTTCCTCTGACACCGCCTGGTACTGGGCCGTCCGCATCACCCTCTGTAGCGCCTTGCAATCGAGTGCGGCGCAGTTGCCATACCAAGCGGTGATGCAGCCAGTCAATATGCTCTCAATGGTGCAGCTGTAGAACGTTTTGAGGATCTGAGGGGCCATGCCAAATCCTTTCATCCTCCTGAGGAGGAAGGGGTGTGAGAGGACCATGTTAAGTCCTTGTTGATGTTGACACAGAGGAACTTGAAGCTCTAGAGTCTAGACCAAAGATCACTCACTGTCAGTGTGACACTCCAAAGACTTCCACTCATCTCACCCCTCTCTCTCTCTCTCTCTCTGAAATACCCTTGTAGCTTTTGGGTTTTGGACAGGAGACAGATGAACAGATGGTATCAGCTAGTTCTATTTCTCTGTTTCTCTCATGCTTCTTTCTGTCCTCTCAGCCACAAACCTGTCTGCATATAAAACACCTGCCCTCTCTCTCTCTCCCTTTCTCTCTCTCTCTTTCCTCTCTATCTCATCCTGACCTCCCTCTCTCCTCTCTCTAACCCCCCCTCTATACTATACCCTCCCTCTCGCTATCTCTCTCTATATTACCTTTAGATCTATCCTCGCTCTGCCTCGTATCTCGATAACCTCACCTCTCTCTCCGCTCTATCTCTCGCTCTCTGTCTCTCTCTCTCTGCCTCTCTCTCTGTCTCTCTCCGTCTCTCTCTCCGTCTCTCTCTCCGTCTCTCTCTCTGTCTCTCTGTCTCTCTCTGTCTCTCTCTCTCTCCTCTCTCTCTCTCTCTCTCTCTCTCTCTTTCTCTCTCTCTCTCACACACACACACACACACATATTTTCTTTCCTCTTAAGTTGAAGAAACACCATAACCTTGAGGCAAATCCCCATGAAATGAAAAATGACACAGCCAGCTATTAATCTTTTGGACAATCTTTTGAAACATCCCATAAAGGTGGAACTACACTGTGACAATATGGGCATGCTGATCTGAAGCTGATCTTCAGATGTTAGATTGCAGTCAGTTGAGCTTGGAACTGATAATCACAATGATCAGATAAAGACAAGGACTGTTCACAGATCAGGGCTTACATGTATCTATATAAGGGAGATATAGTAAAGAGACATACATAGGGATGATCATGTTTAGATTGTTGAGAGGGGAATATTTCTCTGTCAGTCAATACATTCCTCGCCCACTCACTGTTGCTGCGTACCTCCCTTTCCTACATAGGTAAATAAAGGATGAATCACCAGCCCTTCCAAACACATGAAAGCAAAAAGGAGAGGTAAACAAATCCTCTTTTTCGACTGTGTCACATGGAGATTTGGTTTCTGTTTCAATTAATCACGCGCCATCATTATCATTTGAAAGGGAGGGAAAGAAGCAAATGCATTTGTCTCAAAGGGGGCACATTTAATCCAATTGAAATTGATGGCACTATTCGGGCTGATTAAATTACCTTGGAATCTGCGTTATCTTTTCATCCCCACAAAGCTACAAAGTATCGCAGGTGAAGTAAGTGCCACATCTAATAGATATTGATTGGATTCGCTTTATTAGTTTCTATTTGCAGATGAGATGAAACTGTTGTCTCTGAGGGCATCTTTCACAGCAGGAGAAAACCATGATGGTGGCATAGAGGAAGTGTAGGAACAAAGACAAGGAGGTAGGGAATAGGAAATAGGAAATAGGAAGTATTGAGTAGGAAGCATAATTGACAAGCTTTTGACTATGAGGAGGCTGTGAGAGGCTTATAATATTAGTAGTACTATAAGAAGCACTGCTGTGATGATTTGATAAGGGGCCAAAGGTGTGAAAACATTTCAGACCAGCTCTTCCATAAAGCACTCTTCATAGATTGATTTAGGAGGGTTGTTGAATAAAAAACAATGAATTCATTTTTGATTGAAACTTAATGGAAATCTCTGCTGACAGAAATGCCTGCTCTCCCCTGCATAGCTTTCCCAGAAATAGCGCTGTTATGTTTTCCAGGCTGTTCTGGCTGTATGAAGCAGACACACACAAAGTCTTGTCCCGTCCTCTGTGATGCAATCTGTCAACGGCTTCACAGGCATCTGCTGGGGATTTCTCTCTCTGTGTGGACGATGGAGGGAGCCTTAGAGGAGAAATTAGGAAAATTGAGAGAGGTAGGGATGAGGAAAACGAAGAGAGAGAGAGAAAACAGATTGTCACACTGAGTTCAAGCCTGGGTTATCAGATTACCCTCCTGTGACCCCACAGTAGCTGGGCAATTGACAACCACAGCATCACCAAAAAGCGAGTGAGAGAGAGAGAGAGACAGATAAAGAGAGAGAGGGAGGGAGAGAGAGAGAGAGAGAGAGAGAGAGAGAGAGAGAGAGAGAGAGAGAGAGAGGGGGGGGGGGGGGGGGGGGAGGGAGTGGGGAGAGGGAGAGATCCATCTAGTGCCTGTCACCTCAGATTCTTAAAGCTAAAACACACTTACTCTCTAAAATGAACTCCTCACATGACAAAGAGATAGAAAGGAGTGTTTGATATAATCCTCCCTCTTCTCCCTCTTTCCTACAGAGCTCCATAGCCCTGCTCAGTACTATGACGTGTTTGCTTCTGGTTTGCATTTAGACCGTCAGCATTGCATCCTGGGATGTAGGTGAGGTGAATAAGAGAGCGAAGTAGAGAGTAGGATGGAGATGGAAGAGATTTTAATAGAGATGAATTGCCTCCCAAATGAGCCACCTAATTATCCTGCTCAGCTCCCTGCATCTCGTCTGCTCAACGCAGGCCTCTGTTAATGGTCGGCTGAGAAACTTAATTTCCACTTTTATCTTTCTGTTAATGCAGTGATGACCACTGTGTTTTTATCATTATTAATGGTTTTTAAGAACTCTGTAGATTTTTTACAAAACTTGAAAGACACCAATCTAAAAGCATCATCTAAAAGATCAGGGTTGATGATATTGTATTCATGGGGCTTATGGAAAGATCAGTTTGAAAGAATGAGGAGCTTGATTTGAATGCGGCGGTTATTCCTGATGAAAAGTACTTTTAATCACTTCTTGTCATGTGTCTTGCATATTGAGACTAGCCTGAGGCGATAGTGAGACATCAACCTCGTACAAGTTCTGTTGAACTCCTACTCTAAGGCACTCTGTATTCTGAACAAATCCTAAATCAAACATCCTAAATCAAATCATCTGTCAACACGTTGAGTAATTCATCAATGAATTAGCTACCTGATTAATTATTTCTAATTACATCTGAGATTATTAAAGTTTCAGCAAAAATGTATCAAAAGCAACAACAAAGTTGTATTAAAAGCATATCAATTACAATCTCCTTTTGACAATAAAAACTACATCAATGGACATTAAAAAGAATTGTGATGAATGACGAATCCTTTTGAATGCAATACCTCCCAACTAGCCCAGCCAACCAGAGGGATCTGATTGGGATCTGACACGTGACAGCAGTTTAACATCCAGATGTTGTATACTGTATGTAGGATTCATAAAGCTAGGACAGCCCAGAGGTATCCCAGGGCTGAGTCTCTAGGCTAGGCTAGTGTAGACTAGAGGAACCCTCCTATCTGTCCGGATGGGTTAGGTATGCTGCTGTGAACACTGCTGAGTCTGTCATGGTCGGGAGAACAGAGGAACACAGCCGTGACCCCGTGACCCCCTATCAGTCCCACTGAGACAACAACACTGTGAGTCACCATGGTACAAATCTAGACATGGCCTCAAAACTGGATGTTGTAAACAGCAGGCTTACCTTATAGAATATTTATTATCACAAGGGGACTTCAGGTCTGGTATTTGGTAAAACACGCTTTCTCAATGTTTCTCAATATCTTATTTGTGGTTTGGAGGAAGGAGACAGAGGAGACATGGGAGGCATCCAAAACATAATACCTTCCTTGTGACATAAGTAACCTATTACTATTTCTGTTACAAGCGATGTTCTGGGGTCTCACGGCATGCGACTGTAATGTTAAGCAATGGAGTGCTGCTGGCTTTAGGATGGTTTCTGTAATGGAGTTGCCTTGACAAGGTGTGCTTCAGTGTGTTACCTGGTCTATTTAGTGTCAGCGGTGGTCTGAATCACTCTCTTTATGAATCCCATCAGGTACTTATGGTTGTCACCTCCATGGACACGATCGCCTCGCCTCGCACAATCAGATAAAGCATGGCTGCCTCGTCTGAGGCGGTGGGAGGCGCTAACCATAAATATGAGTCACCTACTTTCCAATGCATTGAAAAAAACAGATAGGCCTAGCTCACAGCCAATCTCCATCAAATCTAATAGAATGGGTTCATTCTGCACTTTAAAGATTCCTCAGTTTCCTTGGGTGTCACAATTATCTGTCATAGTCTCCCTGCGCTCCTCTTAGTCTCTGGCTGATGTATGCGACCCATTTAAATCCCATCCATCTGTTATGTATGACAGAACATAATTCACATAGGGCTGAATCCTGTCTATCCACCACGGCAAGGGCAGTGGGATGGAGTCTCTTAAGGAAGAATTCAATATTAATGTAATGTTTTTTATTTCGCTGGTTGGTGGTTTGCAAATGGAGTCTCGGTCTTGGACTAAAATAAATGGGGTAAATACTATTACGCAAATAGTTCCTGCTGTTGAACTGGCAATAAAGGATATGAAGCATACAGAGCCATCTTTAAGATCGTCATCTAATCACTTTTAGGAAAGTGAATGTGTGGTTCTTCAACTATATGGATAGAGGGACTGAGAGCGAAAGAGACAGATAGCAAAAGCAGGTTTTTTAGATGCAGACAGGCTTGTGGCGTAGAGAACAGAAAGAGAGGGAATAAATGTCCACTGAGCAGTATGAGGCAGAGTTGATTGTGTGCTAACATTTACATTTTAGTCATTTAGCAGACGTGCTTATCCAGAGCGACTTACAGGAGCAATTAGGGTTAAGTGCCTTGCTTAAGGGCACAGACAGATTTTTCACCTAGTCAGCTCGGGGATTAGAACCAGCGACCTTTCGGTTACTGGCACAACGCTCTTACCCACTAAGCTACCTGCCGCCCTATACTTACGTGCTAAGATGACATGTCTTTAGTGAGCGGTGGATATCAAGTTTTTATCCTCTAACTATTGGACAACTGAATGTTCAAAGCAGTGTCACGATCGTAATTTAATGAAGCGGGCCAAGGCGCAGCGTGATATGCGTACATAATTTATTAGATGTACCACACACGAACAAAAACAACAAACGATACGTGAAGTCCAAGGTTACCAAACACAAACCATACACGGAACAGGATACCACACCACACAAATGCCAAACGACTACCTAAGTATGGTTCCCAATCAGAGACAACAAGCAACAGCTGATTCACGTTGCCTCTGATTGAGAACCACCCCGGCCAACATAGAAACACAAAACATAGAAACTAACACCCTGGCTCAACATTAAAGAGTCCCCAGAGCCAGGGCGTGACAGTACCCCCCCCCCAAAGGCGCGGACTGTGACCGCGCCAACCAAACACCACAGGGGAGGGACCGGGTGGGCATTCCACCTCGGCGGCGGATCCGGCTCCGGGCGTGACCCCAACCCTCTAACAACCCCCCCGTAGTGCCCCTGGTCTGGTCTGGCCCCGCTGGCTGGCGCTGGACTGGACATCGGTGGAGCGGATTGCTTAGGCTCCGGTGTGGAGCAGCTGACCGGTACCTGACCAGGCACCTGTGAAACAGGCACGGGCTGTGCCGGACTGACGACGCGCACCACAGGCTTGGTGCGGGAAGCAGGGACGGGCCGGACCGGGCTGACGACGCGCACCATTGTCTTGGTGCGGGAAGCAGGGACGGGCCGAACCGGGCTGACGAAGCGCGCCACTGGCTTGGTGCGGGGAGCAGGAACAGGCCGGACCGGGCTGACGACGCGCACCATTGACTTGGTGCGGGGAGCAGGAAGAGGCCTGACCGGACTGGCGACGCGCACCATTGGCTTAGTGCGAGGGGCAGGAACAGGCCGGGCCGGGCCGGGCTGGCGACGTGCACCATTGGCTTGGTGCGAGGGGCAGGAACAGGCCGGGCCGGGCTGGCGACGTGCATCACAGGCTTGGTGCGAGGGACAGGAACAGGCCGGACCGCACTGGGAACACACACCACTGGCCTTATACGGGGATCAGGAACGGGCCGGACCGGACTGGCAACACACTTCAGTACCTCTCGCCGTGCCTCTACACTTTCCTTCCCTCTAATCACCAATGGCTCCCGTAACCCGGTGGCCTTCTCTCCTTGTCCACAAACTCGCCCCTTATCTGCCTCCAGCAGCCCCGTCGTCCACGGTGTGAGCCCCCCCCTAAACATTTCTTGGGCTTGTCTCTCCCCCGTGGATATGGCCTCCATGGCTCTCGCCAGACTCTCCATCCTCTGCTCCCAAGTCCAACCTCTCTCCTCTTCACGCTGCTTGACCCAGTCGAGGTGGTATCTTCTGTCACGATCGTCATTTAATGAAGCGGGCCAAGGCGCAGCGTGATATGCGTACATAATTTATTAGATGTACCACACACGAACAAAAACAACAAACGATACGTGAAGTCCAAGGTTACCAAACACAAACCATATACGGAACAGGATACCACACCACACAAATGCCAAACGACTACCTAAGTATGGTTCCCAATCAGAGACAACAAGCAACA